ATAAATAAGAAAAAGAAAAGAAACAGGGTTTAAAATAAAGATACATAAAGATGGAAAATATACAGAGAATCTGAATACTGTATGTTACTGTGTTGTATTTGAATTGTTTGACTGCTGAGGGAGGACCAGCAGCTGATAAGACATTTGATTATAAATGCTGCTGGATTAATCAATGCCTTGACTTCAAAATGTAAGTCAAAAGATATGTTACTTTGGAGAAGAGATTTTGCACAGGAAATGAGAGGCTGTGGATTCATTCTGAATTAAGAAAAATCAGGTTTGATCAAGGAAGACCCTCTAAGAAATCTCTGGTAGGAGCAAATGGTCCAGATGATCCAACATTTCAGAGGGTCTCTGTTGGTTTCCTCTGAATCCTACATCTAGAACAGTTTCAAAACTGCTGGCTAAGATGATCAAGTCTCATAGAGTATTCCAGTTAGGACTTGACCATGATCCTAAATTTTTTTTAGGTCCCTATAAGATTATCCATGCCCCAATCAGCAGGAAGTAGCCTAGAAAATTATGCCCACACTCCCACAAAATGGATTATGGATGTTTGTCTTTGTTTAGAGTGTTGTTTACAAGTTACTAGGGATAATGGTCAGGAAAAAAAATTAAAAAGATGGATTAGATTTAGAGTTCTTTTTTTTTAATATTTATTTATTTATTTATTTATTTATTATACAGTGTTCTGTCTGTGTGTATGTCTGCAGGCCAGAAATGGGCACCAAACTTTATTACAGATGGTTGTGAGCCACCATGTGGTTGCTGGGAATTGAACTCAGGACCTTTGGAAGAGCAGCAATGCTCTTAACCACTGAGCCATCTCTCCAGCCCAGATTTAGAGTTCTTGCTTTGAAAAAGAAAAGGAGAGGGAGAGGAAGTGCTCTGGGACAATGGTCTTAATGGTGGGACAAAAACCTCTGTCAGCTCAAAATTTAAAGAACAGCTGTTACCACCAGCATAAAGGGTAGTGGGTGCTCAGCTTGAAGGAAGGATGCAAACATGAAGCAAAGGTGCAAAAAGGACTTCAAAGGGCAGTGCAGAGCAGAACAAGGCAGCAGACCAAAAGTCTTTTTCACTTCTGACCTCTGATGAAGGATGGCAGGAAGAGAAAATGGCTGGTTAGCTAGCTTTCCAAGAAAGAGATCATTAAATGAAAATAGATATCAGGAAAAGAGATGGTTGGAGAGGATGGAGAGGCATTGAATCACAAAGATTGCTGAAGAAAAGTTGAGAACACAGAAAGAAAAGACACCAGATGCTTAAAGCTGGCAAAGTGTCATGGGTAACAGGCTGAATGTTTATGTTAATAAGAGAGGAACAATGGAAAAATAAGAGAGGTAGGAAAATCTGGGTTAAAGACTAATGTATGTAACTTACCAGTATTCTGTTTCTATCTGCACTGTCTGCTTGACAGGAGCCATGAGGCAGAGGTCCTCCAACTCCACTGGCAATATGTGGCTGTTCCCTAATTTCTACATTTATTGTTGAGTAGAGTAATTGTGACATCAGAAGAAAACCATGGTTTCTGCTTTTTCTCCAAATTTCTCCTCCCCTTTGCTAGCCTTTCCTCACTACCTTTATCTCTCATCTGTCCAACAGGTTTCTGTATTTTGATCAGCTAACACTATAATATCTAAGTTTATATTTGTAAGAAATATTGTGCCCAGAATCTTAGAAATGCTCACCTGGAATGCCTCTCTTTTCATGAATTGCAGTACTCAAGATACTCAATGTTTTCTTTCTGGAAAGTAAGCATTGCTGCCTTGATGACAATATCATGTAGCCTACGACCATTTCTGAAGTAGTGACATTTCTATAGTTACCTCGTGGCATCACTAATGGCTTAATGCGTATATTTAGAAAGAATATTTTATCTGGAATTTATCTAGAATAAAGATAAATCTTTAAAGGATAGAATTTTTGATATAACCATTGTTTAGAATGTTGATATGACAAATATCTAGTCACTAAACCTGTTTTAACATTTAAATATTAAAATATTGTTAAGGTATTTATAATATATTGCTTTATTTGTATCCATTTCACATTGGGTTTGATTGTTTTTGTTTTAAAAAGTAGGGCCTATGTATTTCAGTCTAGCTTGAAATTCATTACCTAGTCCAGGATGTTTTCAGATGTTTTGAGGTAAATCTCCTCCTCAGCCTCTTGAGTTTTGGAATTAGAAGTGTGTACCAGAACACCTAGCTCTCTGTCGCCATTTTTCAAAAGATTAGCCATGAATCAGTTGAAGTGGGTTGATTTTTGAGTTATAAGAATGCTTCTAAGATGTGAGAAGAGAAAGAAAAGTATTTGTATGAGAGTCTTCAACTTGAATGAAAAGCAGTTTATTTTAGAGGCTCACTGCATAATTAGGTCAAATAGTTTTATGGAGAGAAAATGTTTCTTTTACACAAACTTATCTTTAAAGGAAAATTTTAAGAAAAGATTAGCAAAAGATCAATAATATTGTTCTTTTATATGTGCTTTGCAAAATGTAAATATCTGTTACAATGCCAATTATTACAAAGCATTGCTTAAGAGCAGCCTTCTGTAACACACTTAATGGAACAGAAATTCTAAATGCTTACAGATTCCATAGAAAGCAAAGGCCAAAGACTCTGGAGCCAGCCAATTCCACTTTTTACAATGGATTTTCAAGACTCAGACTGCAGATGCCGCCTGATAGGGCATCGACGGCGGTCTTATTGGAGGTAATTCTGCTTTTTCTTAGAATTTGTTATATGCAATAATTTATTCAATACTTACCTTATCAGTCCATCGCAGGTCTTGTAATGGCAAGTGTCACATCCTCAAAGGTTTGTACAATGTGTGTCATGCAATAGCTCCTGAGTAAATGCTCACTAAATCAGTATTCTAATTTTAATTTTGGAAGATTAATCAAATGGACAAAGTGATGAATGATGCATCAATTTCTCTTACTTGTCAAACTTCAATTGGCTGTCAAAATTGAGATAGGATGGAAAAAGTTAAAATTTAAAAATAATTTTAGTTTCTTTAATCTTTAGTTTCCACCATTTCTCTCACAAACCTTATTGAATTTTTGTGTATTTTTAGATAAAGTCAAAGTCCTGGAAACCAGAAAATTATATAAACAAGTCCCAAAATATAGTGGTATGTTATTTGTATTTTAATAAATAAATCTTGCCTGAAGACCAGAGGCAAAGCTAAAGCCTCTAGAGATCAGGTAGTGGTGATTTACACCTTTAATCCCAGGATTTGAGAGACTGAGGCGGATGGATCTCTGGAGTTCAAGGCCACTCTGGGCTACACAAGATCAATTCAGAAACAAATCCAGGTGTGGTGCCTGACACCTTTAATCCCAGTCCTAAGGAGTCACACATTTAATGCCAGCGCTAGAGGGAATATAAAACGTAAGGAGGGAGAGGTTTAGATTACTTAGTCTGCAGTTGCCCAACTTTGGTAGTGATTAGATTTCTCTAGAGGCTTGACTGCTTTGTTTTTCCAATTTTGGGGTTGAACACCAATATCTACCTCTGGGTTTTTATTATTGGTGCTACACCAAAATGTTCATGTGTCATACAAGTAAGATTTCATACTGTTTGTGAACGGAGGTGATTTTAGTCTTAGCTGTTAGACACTGGATAGTTATATAAAGCCCATGTGGTACTGCACACCTTTAATCCCGGCATTCAGGAGGCAAACTCAGGGAGATCTCTGAGTTCAAGGCCAGCCTAATTTATAGAGTCAGATATAGGACAGAGAAAGCCTTTCTTGAAAAGATAAAAAAAAATGAACAAAGCAAAATTCTTACATTATTTACATAATAGATTGTGGAATCATTTATGTTGTATTTGGGGAGTGTATCTTCTTCACAGTCTGTTGCACCTGTGAAGTAATTTTATTCTAATTTCCTATGTATCCATCCACATGTAGGGGGATTAATTTTGATATGAAAATATATTTGAAAAAGTGTTTATTTCTAAAATGAGAATGACAGAGACATGGGTTTGGCCAGTCCAAAGAGCCACTATTGAAGGAGCTGATGTTATTAGGGAATTTTAAAGATTACAAACGGTTAGAAGTTGTCAGGGCAGGGGATATGGCACAGTTGGTAGATGCCACATCTAGCATGTAAGAAGATTCCATTCCCATCGTGGGGGCACACTCCTCGGGAGTTCAAGATTGGCTTTGCCCTCCTTTGCCGGTCTACATAGCAAGTTCAAGGCTAGATTGGGAGACTCCTAAATAAAAAATAAAACAAATGTATTTTATTTAAATCCAGCTTTTAAAGCTTTTGCAAAGTTACAAAAGAAAAGCCATTTGATACAGCAGTCAGTAATGACACCCAAGAAAAACAAAGACATTAGGAGCTTCCAGCAACTTGCTAGAAGTAAGGTGTGTTAATCAAAGCCATTAGGACTACCCAGGACTTGGAGAACTGCTGGGCACATGGAAGACATTACCGCCTTCATCCTCCTCTAGGGAATTTTGATTTGGCTAGAATGACTTGTTAGATGCAAAACCAGCTGTGTTGTAAACCTTGTAAACATGGTTGAAGGGAAATACTTTTTAATTAACGGAAGGACGAGGACAGAAATGACATTTAGAACTTACTGCGCATGGCCCTTGTAATGGTGAATTTTGTTCACCTGCAGCTACGCAGCTATGTTGTTCCAACAGGGTGTGTTAAAACCTCTGCTATAGAAATGCAGAAATGTAGAGGCCTGTTCAGATATGCCTGTGGTGAGTGGGTGCAGGAGGGATTAGGTCTCAGTCTCTGGGATTTGATGTTACAGGGTTGAGGCTCTAGCTTGTTACAGAAGAAGCCCAGGACATACGTAGCCTCCGTGTGTTCAAGTAGTAATGGGAAGAATATGAAAGCTGAGGAAGGAACCCATCAATGAGATTTTTCAGTGAAAACGTCCTTCTTGGGATGCAGTTGACAAAAGGCTCTGGTTGGTCTCTTCAGTAAATAATCAGAGCTCTGTGTAGCAGCTCCTCCCGCTGGCCTGCCTTACACTGCGGGCAGACTGAGCAGGCGCCACAGTGTAGTTTCTTTTAGTCTCTGGGTCGTTGCAAAGTCTCCTGTTCACCCTCGCTTTCCACCTGCAGCCCCCAGGCCTGCTCTTGCAGTCCACTGCGCTCCCGGTCCCAGGACGGCATGGCGAGGCCTCGGCAGCTCAGAAGTCTGGGGATTTGCATTGCCTTAGCGCTGGCGTCCTTTCTTGCCGGCTTTACTATAGGTAAGTGTGAAAGTCAGGTGAAGAGATCTCACTGGAGGGAGGAAAAGCCCAGAGTGGCTTAGGGCGTGCTCTGTGGAGTTTCCAAAAGAATACAGCAAAAGTAGAGAGCAAATACAATGCATTTCAGTCGGAATTCCATATTTAAGTTTTTATTGAGTTCAGACCACAGCTGTGGGCTGCTGGGAAGAAAACACCGGTTGCTACTATCTATGTGGATGGGAAAAAGATGCCTATTTCTAAATAATTATGAATTGGAATCATTTTTACCTGGATATTTTTGCAGTGGTTCTTGAGTGTCAGGGGCTGTTTATGAACTAGTTTTCCGGAGAGAGCCTTAAAGGTTGTGCCTCATATATTCATAGTACAAGGGAAGAAAAAGAACAGTTCCTGAAGTGAACCTGTGCTAACCAACTGAGAGTTACATGCCTTTGAGAATTTTAATAGCTTTCTGCAATTAGCATGTTTCCCCCAAAAAGTGCACAGTAATCTGTTGGTTAGGTCTCACCTTGGGTTTTTTTTTTTTTTATTAAAAACTTCTGCCTCCTCTCTGCCTCCCTTTTCCCTTCCCTCCCCCCACTCCCCAGGCCCCACTCCCCTCCCCCTCCCTTTCCAGTCCAAAGAGCAGTCAGGGTTCCCTGCCCTGTGGGCAGTCCAAGGTCCTCCCGCTCCACCCAGGTCTAGGAAGGTGAGCATCCAAACAGTTGTTGTTGTTTGTTTGTTTTCACTTTGTTTTCTGGTTGTCAGAAGCAACCAGTATGCTTGTTTTGCATCTTTATGAGTGTCTGTGTATTTCTATGTGTAGAGTGTGTATTTGTGATTTCACTCTACCCCCAGGCTGGCTTATTAAACCTCTGAAAGAAACATCTACTTCAGCTCGTTCTCATCAGAGGATGCAGTGGACACTGTTATCAGAAATGAAGGCTGAAAACATTAGATCTTTTCTCCGGTAAGTCTGTGTTGCATTTTTATCATAGAAATAGTGTTTGTTGCATGAACAGATGAATTTAAACTTGGCCTGCCTTTATTTATATGTGAAATTATACATTGTTCATCAATTCACTGATTTTTTAAAAAATGTATCTAAACTACTAAGGATGAAATCCATGCTTGTTACAGAGGTGCCGTTTCTCACCCATAACTTCACCCTGCAGGAAAGGGTCTGATTGGTGTATTTAGAGACCTTTCATCTTCATGTAACCTTGAACTGCAACTGAGTGAGATGTTTTTGTTCCTTGTGCATGGGAATCAGAAGAATCTTATGTCTTCCTTTCTCCCAGAACCCTTTCTTTACTGCATTCTGTTAAGAAGAGTTAGGACACTGGCAGCCAGGTGACTTAGAAAGGAGATCAGCCTTTCTGACTGCGGTTTTCTTATTTTGCAAATTTTTTTTTCTTTTCTTTTCTTTTTTTTTTCTCAGTCACTGAACAAAATGGAAACAGTAAGGACAGTGTAAACTTTTCAACTTCTTTTGCAAGGCAGTTTCTATAACACGTTTTTGTTCTCAGACTCCCTCAAAAAGAGTGCTACAAACAAATCAGCTTTGTTGGATTATAATTTACATAAACTACACAGTTCAAAACCTTGCAGTTTTATAACTGTTTACTGGCTTGTTTCTTCTGGCTTGCTCAGTTTGCTTTTTTATTGATTCCAGGACTGCCTTCCCAGGGATGGCACTGCCCACAGTGGCTGGGCCCTCGCAAAACAATCATTAATCAAGAAAATGCCCCACAGACATGCCTAAAAGGCCAGTCTGAAGAAGGCAATTCCTCAATTGAGATTCCCTGTTCTAGAAGACTCTAGGTTGTCAAGTTGAAAACAAAAGAAAACAAACAACCCATAACCAACAAAAGGATGTAAAGTAGAAACCAAATATACCTAGGCTCCATGTATTTCTCTCTAGTTGTAAAATAGCTAGTCTAACCTCATTTGTACTTTGTAAAAGAAATATTTGACATATTAAACATCTATAGCCTGCAGTTTTCACTTAATGGCTTAACTAGAGAAAGAAAGCTTTGCAGAGCTTGATACTTGAGTCTTCATGGTTCAGTCATAGTCTGCTGGTGGGAGAGGGTAAGACTCAAGCAGAGGGAAAAATATTTAAGTCTGGGAAGAAGGCCTTGTGCAAAGTCTGCAAATGACAGCAATGACAGTGGAAAGAGCGCTGTTGAGCGGAAGCTTTGATTGATCACAGTAACGGGGAAGGAGGCTGGGGTAGGAGGATTTTAGTCTGAGTATCTTGAGCAATCGTGCAATAAGAGCAGACCAACTACTGAAAAATACTATTTCTCAAAATCAGAAAATTATAATGTCAGGTTCTAGCTATAAAAATATGAACTAATTTTTCAGCTCCCTTATTTGCAAACTAAGGAAAAGGAAGAGCGGTGATGAGGATGGAGACAAAATGTAAAAGTGCTGGTACCAAGTTTCCAATGAAAATGCATCTTCATGTCCATGCAGGGTTTGTTTTTCTTTTTTTTTGTTTTTGCTAATTTTTTGGTCATCCTTTAGTTAACTTTAAAACTAATTTACAAAAATGTTTAATTTTTTTCTCTACTGTTGTAAGTGGAAAAGAGAAGAAACCTTTAATATAATATTTGTGAAATAAATCTTACGAATAACTCTTTGTGGGGTTATTAAAATGCTATAGTCCATTCCCACCCAGAACTAAGAAAATATTACCCAAGGAAGTATGACAGATCTGTGCTTCTCAAGTCACAAAAAAGATTTTGGCACTAAAGAATACAAAAATTCATGGACCTTAATTTCAATGAAGTAAATACACTGCTACATACCTGTTACAACTGAAAGAATCATCTAAGCCAAATACAGAGTACCTGGCTGTCCCTGAGAAATGCTGAGACTTCTCCCTCAAAACGTCCTCCATTTACTCATAAACATCAGGGTGTTGCATTGTCCTAGAGTGGTGACATTCTTAAGGGTGTCTTCTCGCATTTGGTTTCATGCTAGTGTGTTTACCATGGAATTCGTCGTTTCTGCAGGGGGCATAACATGAAGATTGGTTGGTTGGTTGATTTTGGTTTTGGTTTTTTCAAGACAGGATCTCATTATGTACCTCTGACTGTCCTAGAACTCACTGTGTAGACCAAGCTGGACTTGAGCTCTACCTGCTTCTGGCTCCTGCGTACTGGGATTAAAGACATGCACCACTGTGCCCAGCTATACCATGAAAATTGAAGTTGTGTTGAATTATTTTAAAGAGTCATGTTTAAGAAATTGGTATATCTGACTGAGATTTTTCTATGTCTGATACGTAATTGGCATGGACTGCTTCAAGGGAGAGCCATAGAGCCTTGTTTGGATGCACACTCTTACCTTCCAATTCTATTGATCTCATTTCAGGTCCTTTACAATATCTCCCCATCTGGCAGGAACAGAACAAAATTTACTGCTTGCCAAAAAAATCCAAACACAATGGAAGAAATTTGGATTAGATTCAGCCAATTTGGTTCATTATGATGTTCTCTTATCTTACCCAAATGAGACAAATGCAAACTATGTATCGATTGTGGATGGCCATGGAACTGAGGTGATGTGGAATTCTTGGAAGTTTTCTTATCTTGAAATCCCTGGTTTGTACTTTGCCCCTGAGACAGGATCTCACTTTTTAGCTTTTGCTGGCCTGGAATCTGTTGTATGAGCCAAACTGTCCTCAAATCTGTGGTAAGGTGCACACAACCAACCTAATTCATTGCTTGTTTCTTGCTCCTTCACTAATTGGAATGCAGAGTCAAGTACCAATATAAATCTGTTGATAGTGTGGTACCGCTCACATAATTCAGAAACGGCGATGTGCTGTACTCTTCAGTGTCTATTTGTGTTAAGCATGGTACTAATTCCTTAGGCCAGAATGAAGATTAGCACATATTTCCTTTGCTTAGGGGGCTGAGGCAGACAAAGGGATATGTCATTTAAAGTCAGTAGGCTAAGTGCTGGGAAGAGAGAACTAAGGTTCAGCCATTTAGCCTAAACAAGGAGATAAAAAGTCTTGCTGGAGGAACTGATACATGAGTCAGAAAAGAGAATAAGAGTTTAACCACATGAAAACTTAAAGCAAGGAAGAGAGTTCTAGTCAGAGGAAGTACTAGACATGCATGGGAGTGTATCCTGGCTCAGTATTATTGGTAGAGTCTAAAGATGTTATGTGTTACAGTAATGTGAAAGCAAAGTGGACTACAGAAAGGGGTAGAGGAATAGATAAGCTCTGGAGATGGGTCATAGGATTATATTGCATCTTAAGGAGTTAGATGGCAAGATTCAACTATGAGACCTTCTGAAAATCATAGGCAAGGAAAAGGTAGGACTGCAAAGCATGTTAGGGAGGGCTCTTGCACAGCACATATAGACTAGGCAGAGAATCAAAGTTACAACGGTAATGTAATAGTTCAAGTCAAATGTGAAGCCCTGAATTAGGCTACTTGCAGAAATAAAGGTGAAGGATGAATCTGATAAGCAAACAGGAGTGGGCTAGCAACACGGTTCACGGCTGACCTGAGCAAGGAAGAAGCGCATGAATAATCAGGATGACTGACTCTCCACACCCAACTGCCTGGTGCAGGTGGCTTACTTAGTGAGACAGTTCACAGGTGGGAGATGTGGAGCTGTAAGCATGGTAGAAGATAAAAGCAAATTTTAATATGTTGAGTTTGAAGATCAAAGCTAAATAATCACCTGGCTCTTAAATACAGGAATGTAAAAAAGCTGACCCCAGAAGTCTGTTACTCGTTGGCACAATCTCAATAGTGAAATTACACTGGACGGAATAGGAAATTACCAAGAAGTGGTATAGGGGTAGAATATGGTAACCATTTAATTGATGGTGAAAGAAAAGGCCTTTGCAAGAGAAGCAAACAGAAAGGCAAAGGAGGAAATCACAAAAGCACCACCACCGGTAGCATTTCTTTTGCTCGCTTACTTTTTAGCAGTGCTGAGGATGGAATTCAACATGCTACACAAGTATTCTACCACCAAGCTACACCCCAGCCCACGAATGCCACCTTTGAAACCTGCTTCTACACTTAATAAGAGAACATTTAATCACTTAGGACTATTACTTTGAAGATGATGTAAAACTTACTCGTTGTTGTCGGCGGGATTTATCTGTTTAATTACAAAACCTTATCTAAGTGCAACTTAGGGGGCAAGACAGACCATGCCTGATAATGATGTGGGATTATTCTCTGTAACTTGACACGTTTGAATTCTTGCTAGATTTTTAAAACTTCATACCTTGAACCACCACCAGATGGATATGAGAATGTTACAAACATCGTACCGCCCTATAATGCCTTTTCAGCCCAGGGCACGCCAGAGGTAAAAAATGTGCACACCTTTACACCTTTTTTTGTTCTGTGAAAGCCAGTGTAGAGAAACACCACCCAGGGGACCTCACATGCAGGCTACATATTGGTGTAGTCATGGTTTCATGTTCAGTACTATGAGCACCTTCCAAAATTAGAATGATTTTTTAATAACAGAGAAGATCCTAAGGGGGAGAAGAACGGAAGGAAAGAGCACTAAGAGTCTGCACTCTGCAGAACAGCAAACCTCCAACTGCGCTCTCAGCAGGTGCTTCCAGCAGCTTTCCTCACTGTTTACAATGTGATTTTTAAATTATTTTTATCCACCTGCTTTTGTAGCTCATACTACAGATATTCTTAAAATGTTGTGGATGGAAATTAAATATGTTTGTGATTTCAGAAGCTATTTCCAATTGATAGCTTACAAATGAAAAATTGGTTTTCTCCATGGAAGTCTCACTGGGGAAACAAGCTACTCTTTAGGCTTGGCTCCCATGCCCAGCAGTATATGCTCAACACAAAATGAACCCAACAGCATCTTTGGAGGCTCTTCTTCTCATAATTTTAAGTCAGGGTTATTTTAATCTTACAAGTCTTTTGCATGTATACTATGGCTTCTATTGTGTGTTAATTGAATTCCTGTGTTTATGAATACAAGTGTCTGCATTTATATGCATTTCTTATGATTTTTCTTTTGTTCTTGTTCTCTTTTGATTATTTCATCCTATTCTGGTTTGTTTGTTTTTGTTTTATCTCATTTTACTTTATTATCATTCCTTAGATACTTGTTTGTTTTGTAAGGAGAAACAGAAAGGGTATGGATCCTGATGAGAAAGGAGATGGGGAAGAGCTGGAAGGAGTCAGAGGAGGGGAAACCATTATCGGAACATATTGTATTTAAAAAGTATCTTCAATAAAAGAAAAAAGATGGAAAAAGATAGACAATAAAAATTAAACATAGTTGGGTTCATTGAAATTGGATTGACTGTTTCCTACTGATATTTTTTTTTCTGGAGAATAACTATTTAAAACATGTCTCCGCTCCACAAAGAAGTTTATGAAATGTTAAAATGGTGTTGTTGGGTTCCAAATAAGGAAAGAAAACTGCCAATAGACTTTTGAAGAACAAATTATTTCAATTTTGTCTTGAAGGCAGTAGCATACGTATCTTTCCCTTTTCTTGTAGGGAGAGCTTGTCTATGTCAACTATGCTCGCACTGAAGACTTCTTCAAGCTAGAGAGAGAGATGAACATCACCTGTACTGGGAAGATTGTTATTGCAAGATATGGGAAGATCTTTCGAGGAAATAAAGTAGGGTATTCCTTTTTCAAGAGGGAAAGGGGGGGTTGGATCCTACAAATATAAATGCTCAATTATATTCGCTCTCTAAAATTGCTCTTAACTTTGTTCTCATGGGTACACAGAAAACTTTATTTAACATAACTTTATATGTCTTTTCTTATTTGAGACAGGGTCTCACTATGTAGCTCTGACTCTCCTGGAACTCACTTTGTAGACCAAGCTGACCTGATACTCACAGAGATTTGCCTGTCTCTACCTCCCACATGCTGGGATTACAAACTGTCCCACCACTGCCTGGTGTAACATTTCGATTCTGCAAAGGACATTATTTTTGTTACAAAAGTAGCATTTTCTTTTTAAAGATCAATAGAATGAAATTTCTATCAATTAAAAGGAAACTTTCCTCTGTATTACCCAACTTATTTTTTCTAGACTGTTGGAAGGAGGCTGCGTGTTTGTCCCCGCTGTCCCGAACTGAAATAATCACACAGAAAATTGTATTAATTAAATCACTGCTTGGCCCATTAGCTCTTGCTTCTTATTGACTAACACTTTCATATGAATTTAACCCATTTCTATTAATCTGTGTATCACCACATGGCTGTGCCTTACCAGCTAAAGTTCTGGCGTTACATGGCTATGGCGGGGCTACATGGCTTTTCGCGACTTTGCCTCCTTTCTCCCAGGATTCAGCTTAGTTTCCCCCACCTAACTCTGTTCCCCTATAGCTCTACTATAGGCCCAAAGCAGTTCCTTTACTTATCAATGGTAATCACAGCATACAGAGGGAAATCCCACATCACTAGACGTATTCAATTTTAGTCACCCCTTCACAATTTAATTCTTTGAATTCTAAATCTGAGTATATGTACTCTTTATGCAATTATTACGATTAGATTTTAAAGAGGCAATGACACACTGTGTGTCCTGTAACCCTGTTCCCACTCAGCTATTCCTATGCATACCTACAGTAATACACTAAGAGCTGTACAATATAGTAGCAGTTAAGGAACTGGGACCCTGGCTCCACATACTTGGATCAGTACTAGTCTGGGCCCTGAATCTTTAGATCTTTTCACTGTCACCTCTCTCTTCCCAGTGTCCTCTTGAGCAGAATATGAATGCTAATAGCACCAACATCATAGAGTTCTTCATAAGATCCTAGTCTGTACTGGAGAGAGCATCTCAGTAGCAAATTGATACTAGTAAATTCTATATGACTATTAAGTCCCTCATTCATTTAAATAGGAACATAGTATTTTTCAAAATTGATAATATATTTAATCATTCTCCTGTTGACAGATACTTTCCTTAGCTGGGCTTCAGTATGTTCCTACTATAAAGAATTCCATTGTTAACATTCCTTATATACCTCACACATTTGCATCCAATTTGTGATATACATTCATAAAAATTAAGTGTGCATATATGTATGTGATATGTGTGTGTGTGTGTGTATAATCAATGTTCTTTCTTAATTTCCTTTCTAGGAAGTTGAGATGTTGACAAAGCTGAGTACTTTTTAAACATTGTAATACATACAAAAGAGCCAAGAATGAGAATTACCTACTTTTTGCTGCAACATTTCTGATGATTAAGAATTCAGTTATCGAGCTGGACAGATGGCTCAGTGGTTAAGAGCACTGACTGCTCTTCCAAAGGTTCTGAGTTCAATTTCCAGGAAACCACATGGTGGCTCACAGCCATCTATGATGAGACCTAGCGCCCCCTTCTGGCATGCAGGCACACATGGAAGGAATGCGTACACATAATAAATAAATAAACAAACAAACAAATAAATAAATAAATAAAGGTTTATTTATTTATTTAAGATAGAAAAAGAATTCAGTTATCTCAGCCAGACAGTGATGGTGCACGCCTTTAATCCCAGCACTTAGAGGGCAGAGGCAGGCAGATTTCTGTGAGTTCGAGGCCAGTCCGGTCTAGTTCTAAGAGTTCTAAGAGTTCTAAGAGTTCTAAGAGTTAGTTCTAGGACAGATAGGGCTGTTACACAGAGAAACCCTGTCTTGTAAAACAAAAACAAAACAATTCAGTTATTAGTTATCTCACAGAATAAAGTTTTCTATTCTTATCAAATTTAATCCAGATGGTTAGATGCTTACAAAGTTCCTTTTGAAAAAACATACTGACTATTCTATATAGCATTCACAATCTGTTTGGATATGTAAGTATTTAAGTGCTTACTCGATAATGTGCAAGATTTTTGAGGGTAGTTGGTTAAAAGTATAGCATCATTCACATTCTCATCAACCCTCTCGTTTTAGTAGGGTAGACAAACACTAGAAAGATATTTTAATTTATCATAAACTGTCCTATGATAGAAATATATAAAATAAATATAAAGAAAGGAGACCAATTTTGCAGGTTTGGGAATGACAAACAGTTCTTAAAAGAGATAATTAGGATTTTGTAAGATAAATGACCATTTGTTAAATTTACCATGAAGGCGATTAGTTTGGAAGCAAAGATAACAAGCACATAACAACAGCATCAAAAAGCAGTTTTTAAATGACTTTTGCAGGAGTAAGCCAGTCCTTTGCATTCCTGCATCATGTTGCATATTGCTCTTGCAGGTGAAAAATGCCATGCTAGCCGGAGCCACGGGAATCATCCTGTACTCTGATCCAGCTGACTACTGTGCCCCCGAGGTACAGCCGTATCCCAAAGGATGGAACCTTCCTGGAACTGCAGCACAGAGAGGAAATGTCTTAAACCTGAATGGGGCAGGTGACCCGCTTACGCCAGGCTATCCAGCTAAAGGTTATAAGCAAATCTTTTAGTTGATCACTTTTGTGAAGTACTCCTTGCTGTTCTAAGTGTATAAAAACAAGCATTGTATGTCTTTTGGGATCCTGACTGCTCAGAAATAAGTACTTTCTCTGTTCTGGGATTTTTTGTTTTTTCCATATGAAGTTGAGAATTGTACTACCAAGGTCTGTAAAGAATCGTCTTGGAATTTTGATGAGGATTGCACTGAATCTGTAGATTGCCCTTGATAGGATGGGCATCTTCTCTATGTTAATCCTACTGACCCATGAGCAGGGGGGATCTTTCCATCTTCTGATATCTTCAATTTCTTTCTTCAAAGACATGAAGCTTTCACTTGCTTGGTAATATTTTTTTATTATTTTAGGCTAATGATTTTTTTATTATTATTTAAGCCTATTGTGAAAGGTATTGTTTCCCTGATTTCTTTCTCAGTTTCTTTGTAGGATCTCCGTGGTGAAATTTTTAGGGTCACTGATATATGCTATCATATCATCTTCAAATTATGATTCTTTGATTTCCTGTTTTTCAATTTGTATCCCCTTAATCTTTTTCAGTTGTCTTATTGCTCTAGCTAAAATATTGAGTACTATGAGTAGATATGGAGAGACTGGACAGTCCTCTCTTTCAGAAAAAATTTTAGTTGTATTGTTTTGGGGTCAGGGAGTGGAATGTGGTGGTTTAAATAGGAATGGCCCCCATAGACGCATTTGAATGTTTGGCCCTTAGGGAGTGGTGCTATCAGGTGGTGTGGTTTATTGGAGGAAGTGTGTCCTAGCCCTGTGGAGGCAGGCTTTGAGGTCTCACACACTCAAGCTACACCCAGTGTGATACACAGACTCCTTTTGCTGCCTATTGATCAAGATGTCAAAGTCTCAGCTCCTTTTCCAACACCATGTCTGCCTGCCTACTGCCACATTCCCGCCATGATGATAATGGACTACACCTCGGAAACTGTCTTAATTAAGGTTTTTATTGCTGTGAAGAGGCACCCTGACCATGAAAACTCTTATAAAGAAAACATTTAATTGGGGTGACTCTCTTATAGTTTCAGATGTTCAGTTCATTATCATCATGACAGGGAACATGGTGACCTGCAGGTAGATGTGGTGCTGGCTATATCTTTATCAGAATGCAGCAGGAAATCCACTGAGTGTCACACTGAGGTAAGCTTGAGCAAAAGAAACCTCAAAGCCTGCCCCTACAATGATACACTTCCTCCAAAGAGGCCAGGTCTCCTAATAGTGCCACTCCCTTTGGGGGTTATTTTCTTTCAAACCACTGCAAACTGTAAGCCAGCCCCAATTTAGTGCTTTTCTTTGTAAGAGTTTTTGTGGTCATGGTGTCTCTTCACTGCTGTGGAGTGTTCCTTCTGTACACTGTGAATATGTGTTGCTTTCACTGGTTAATAAAGAAGTTACTTTGACCTATAACAAGGTAGAATAAAGCCAGACAGGAAAGCCAAATGGAGAGACAGGGAAAAAGAAGAGTGGAGAGAGTGAGAGATGAGCCAGCTGCAGGGGAAGCAAAATGCTAGAAAACAGGCAAAACCATGAAGTCATGTGGCAAAATGTAGATGAACAGAAATGGGTTAATTTAAGTTGGAAGAGTTAATTAGAAATAAGTCTGAACTATAGGCCAAATATTCTGTAATTAATATAAACGTCTCTGTGTTTATTTGGGACCAGATGGTTGGGACAAAAGAAAAGCTCCTCTGTTTACACTTCACAGCAATAGAAACCCTAACTAAGGTAACGATATGTAGTGTCCTTCCCTGTCTCTTTTTATTACATTTTGTTTGAAGTCTATTTTCTTAGATATTAAAATGGCTACACCAGCTTTCTTGTTAGATCTATTTGCTTAGAAAATCCTTTTCCAACCCTTTATCCTGATGTACTGTTTATCCTTGTTGTTAATGTGTGTTTTCTGGATGCAGCAGAAGGATTTGCATCCATTCTGTTAGTCTGTGTCTTTTCATTGGGGAATTGAGACCATTGATATTGAGAGATATCAATGATCAGTGAGTGTTGATTTCTATTACTTTTTTGTTGATTGTGATGGTGATGGTGGTTGTCATGTGTGTGAGCTTTCCTTCTTTTGTTTTTAGTGATATAAGACTATTTCCTACATTTTCATGGGTGTAGTTAACATTGGTGGGTTTGGATTTTTTCATCTAGTACCTTCTTTCGTGCTGGATTTGGCTCTATCATGGAATATCTATGACATTCGATTTCTCCATCTATGGTGATTGAAAGTTTTGCTGGTGTAGTAGGCAGGACTGGTCTGTTAGAGTCTGCAAGGGTTAGGCTCTTCTGGCTTTTAGAGTCTCCACTGAGAACTTGGGTGTAATTCCAATAGGTCTGCCTTTATGTGTTACTTGGCTGTTTTCCCTTGTGGTTTTTAATAATTTTTTTGTACTGTATGATTAGTGTCTTGATTTTTATGTGGTTGGGGGGGGGACTTTCTTCTTTGGTCCAACTTATTTGGTGTTCTGTAAGCTTGCTGTAACTTTGTATGCATCTCCTTGAAATTAGGGATATTTATTTTATGATTTTGTTGAAGACATTTTCTGGGCCTTTGAGCTGGAGATCTTTTTCTTCTAATCCCCATTATTCTTAGGTTTGGACTTTTCATAGTGTCCCAGATTTTCTGGATGTTTTGTATAAGGAAATTTTTAGATTTAACTTTGTTTTTGGCTGATGTATTCTTTTTTTTTTTTTTTCTTTTTTGTTTTTGGTTTTTCGAGACAGGGTTTCTCTGTGGTTTTGGAGCCTGTCCTGGAACTAGCTCTTGTAGACCAGGCTGGTCTCGAGCTCACAGAGATCGGCCTGCCTCTGCCTCCATTTTTTTATAGTATCTTTAGTGCCTGAAACTCTCTTTTATCTCTTATATTCTCTTGGTGAAGCTTCCCTCTGTAGTTACTGTTTTAATTCCTAAATTTTTTATTTCCAGAATTTTTTCATCTGAAGTTTTCTATATTGATTCTATTTCCAGTTTTGTGATCTTAGTTTTATTTTTTTTAACTATTTGTGTTTTCTTGGATTTCGTTAAGTGATTTATTCATTTCCTCACACTGTTTGTTTTCCTGGATTTATTAATTTCCATTTTTAAGCAATTTAATCATTTTTATATAGTTGGTTTTAAGGTAGTTTTCTTGTGTTCCAGCTGTATTGGAATATTCAAGTAGAATAGCTGGGCTCTAATGGAGACATACTGCCCTTGCTGTTATTGATTCTGTTTTAATGCTGCCATCCAAGCATCCGGGTTTGGGTTGATTATAGGTCTAGGTGCTGATTTCTGGATTTGTTTTATTTTGGTTTTAATCCTTGACTTCGATTTTCTCTCTGGATTTTCAGAGAGTGTGTTGACTGAGTGCTGCCTGTCTCATCCAGCTGATGTGTTCTCAGAGAAAGCCTGCTGGGATTTGATGTGGGAGTGATTTCTTATTAATAAAGAAACTGCCTAGGCCCCTTCATAAGGCCCACCCTTAGGTGGGTGGAGAAAACAGAGGAGAATTCTGGGAGAAGGAGGCTTAGTTGAGGAGTCGCCATTGATGCTCCCACTCCAGACAGACGCAGGTTAAGATCCTCTCTGGTAAGCCAGCTCATGGGCTACACAGAATATTAGAAATGGGTTAGAACAATATGTAAGAGCTAGCCAATAAGAAACTGGAACTAGCCGGGCCAGGCAGTGTTTGAAAGAATACAGTTTCCGTGTAATTATTTCGGGCATAAGCTAGCCATGTGGGCGGCCGGGTGCCGGGGACGCAGCCCCGCCGCTCCTATTTCAACAGGGATTTTAGGCTGGGATACTGGGACAAGGCAGGGGAAGTAAGGTTGGAGGAGAAGGTCTTTGTTATTCCTTGGAGATGGAGTCAAACAGGAAAGGGAGGTCATAGAAGATTTCGCTATAGAAAGCGTGGGATGAAAATGGGGGGATTAGAACTCAGGAGCAGTAGGAGAGGTGAGGGTCTGCCTCCAACCTTCTTTTCCTGGTAGGAGGAGCCCCTAGGTTAACAGGGCTGTCTGCTGGGTTGGGATCTGTGGGGGTGGGAGGAGGAATGTTAGAAGGGGAAAGATTTGTGAGATACACTGGAGATGGGAGTGGGTGGAGTGTTAGGGGTGGGAGGACACTGCCAAGTGTGTTCTGCTGTAGAGCTGGGGGTGGAACTGGTGGAACAGAGAAAGATTAGAGATCTGAAGGGAACCTACAGGTATGGCCTGTGAATTAACATGGTCATGTGGACTGGAGCTGTGGGCTGTTCCCTTGCTCTACTAGGTTGTTGTGTTCCCACCAAATGCTTACTGGTGTTGGAAGTTGGGATACTCGGATTTGTTGGGGGAAGGAGGGCTAGGGATGAAGTAGGGTCAGAGAGGAAAGGAAAACTACAGCAGGTTTCCTGCTATGGAGCTGGGGATGATACTGGTATCTTGGGAGCAGCAGCACAGATGTCGCCCTAAGAGAAGAGGGCCATTAGCAGGGAGTGCTCACTGGGGTTGGGGTCTGGGGCAAAACAAGTAGGGGGAGGAAGGTTAGAAGATCTGTGGGATCCACGGGAGATGGGAGGAGGGTGTTCTATAGAGCTGGTATTCGAACTGGGGGACCAGAGAGAGAAGAGAAGGTCTGCAGGCAGCCTACCTGCTTTTTTGTGAGTTAGCAGAAAATCATTGTTTGGTTTTTAGATACTCAAGACCTTTGGAAATATTTTCTTCAATATTGATTTCTAATTCCAATAAAATTAATCCCACTTGTCAAAAAATACACTTAGTATGATTTTTGCATTTAGTGGAACAATATGGTTAGACTTTTTGTTTCAATAGGCAATTATAAAAATAAGTAATAAGAAAGATATATTTGAGCTGTTGTTTTATATGCCTTATCATTTTTAAGTTGGTTCAAATATGGCATGAGGGTTTCCATTTTAATCCATCCTGCGTGATAGCCAGGCCTGAGGAGATTATCAGTCTGACAGTACTTCCAAATCATGCTTTGAAGAAAACTTTGTCTTATTATTTGGGTAAATGTAATTATTCCTCAATCACTATCTCATAAGTTTTCTATTTTTTATCCATTATATGTGACTTTAGACATATAGACACATTTCCAAGCATATAGTTTGCTGGAGTTTCTATAATAGTAATTCATAATATCTTTTGAGCAAATAAGATATTAAAAAGTTTAAGAAAATCATTTCAAGTGTTTAGTTTGAAATCTATAAATTCTATGATTTGATTTTACTTTAAAATATAAATGATTTAACTTTTTACTGCTGACTCAAATAGGCTAGTTTAAATAATACAATTTGACCTTTTGGTAACCTTTAATTTTATTTTATTTGCCAAAATATAGCAAATCTGTAATGATATTACAAGAAATTCCATCATATCATTGTCTTTGCTTGTATTCTTCAATGGTTTTCACTTACATACTTAATCTTTGCAGAGTACACCTTCAGACTTCAAGTTGAAGAAGGAGTAGGAATTCCGAGTATACCCGTACATCCAATAGGATATAATGATGCCGAGATACTATTACGGTATAGTCATTTAGTTGGAGATGAGTGTGTCTTGTGCTATATTGTCCATTTTCTGCTCTATAAGTCAGTTATGTTGAAACCAGCTGAGTCCTTGCTGTCTGATTTAGTGTCCTCACCTGTAAAATGAGGACAGTGCTGCTTCTTGTGTCCCCGGTGAGATCCCTGTCTCCAGTACAGCCATCATTGAGCTAATACTTGCTGGTATTGTTTTCTGTATTTTATTGCTTGTTTCCCAACTACCATTTCCTAAATGTTTGTACCACAGTAACTTAATTCCCTTTTATAGGTGCCCCCAATGGGGTCAGTAGTTGCTTTTAAAATTAAGTGTTTTTTAACACAGTCATGAATGTTTCCGCTTTCGAATAGCCTCAGTTTCCTGCTTCTCCAACTGTGTCAAGTGTGAAGAGGCTGTTGCCACACATCTGTCCTCCAGATTTTATTTTTTCCCTTCACCTTTAATAGTAACACGTTGCACGTTACTAATTTGTCTAGGCTATGACTCTTTCCAGAGTGAGAGCTCCGTGAGGTTAGGCCTCTGTGTAAATAGTTCTACTCTACACAATCATACCCAATCTTGTGATTTCCTCAAGATCAATCTTTGTGTTGTTTCATGTGCTCTTGGCAGAAACTTGGGAGGAACTGCTGCTCCAGACAACAGCTGGAAGGGAGCTCTAAATGTCAGTTACAATATCGGGCCTGGCTTTACAGGAAGCAAATATTCCAGGTAATGTTGTGAATCTTTAAAAGCCTGAAAAGGTTTGCTTTTAACAGAAAAATGTCAGGCTAATGCTCTGCCAGGTAAAGTATGCTCTTCCCGTTTTCCTTGTCACAGTGAGCAACTGATCGTTTTATATCCACTCGGAAGGACTTGCAGAATTAACAACTGAATTATTCAGTGGTGACATTGTATTATTAGATGAAATATTACCATGTTTGAGCTTAGGCTTATAACATTCCAAGCAATGTTGTCTTTTTTAGCTTCCATTTTCAACTCGAGTTTTAAAGCAGTTGTCCTAGTGACATTTATGGTGGTTCAGCTGAGAGAAGATAAAGGGCGAGAGAAAGGAACCCTCGGTTGTTTAGCCTTCACTCCATGGCATAAAGGAGTCAAAATGAGGAAACCATGTTGTTCAACAATTCAATAATCCCCAATAGATGTTTCATTATAAATAGTATTGCTATTTTCTTTTCAAGACAGGGTTTCTTTTTTTGTTTTGTTTTGTTTTGTTTTTGTTTTTCGAGACAGGGTGTCTCTGTGGCTTTGGAGCCTGTCCTGGAACTAGCTCTGTAGACCAGGCTGGTCTCGAACTCACAGAGATCCGCCTGCCTCTGCCTCCCGAGTGCTGGGATTAAAGGCGTGTGCCACCACCGCCCGGCAGAATTTCTTTTTTTGGAGTAAACCATATTTATTAAAATAAGAAAATGGTCAGTGTTACATTATTTCTAAGTAAATATTAGAATTAAATTAAAATATTTGAGGTTTTTTCTGTTTTTTAAAGTTGTTTTTATTGTGCTATATATTTTTCTCCTCATCCCTCCCTTCTCCCTTCCTCCCCCCTCTTCTTCTCTTATCTCCTATGATCCCCTCACTCAGTTTATTCAGGAGCTCTTGTCTTTTTCTACTCAAGACGTGGTTTCTTTGTGTAGCCCTGTCTGTACTGCAATTTGCTCTGAAGACCAGATTGACCTTGAACTCAGAGGCCCTCTTAAATGCTGGGATTAAAGGCACCTGTCAGTGTCATTTTTAAACACAGGACTGCTGCAGTGGAGTGATCATATGTGCCTGATGGGTTGAGAAAAAGCAGGCAAGCAACGTAGTTATAGAAACACAGACCATGGTGGGAAATGTGATATACTGGAAAGACTGGGGAAAGGGAAACGTAGTGCTGATAAACCAGAAAGGCTAAAGATAGCTATTGATTTTATTAAACCCACATTGCTCAGTCAGTCTTGTTTGCTAATAATTTACCTATCTATGTGAACTTTGATAATCAGAATATGTTAGAATTTGTTTGTTTCAGAAAAGCTAAATTGAAACAAGTTTAGTTTTCTTACTTTTATGGGAATTTTAGAATTTGAGTTACATAAGGGCTTAATAATCACCATAATTCAATCAGAACAGTGTTCCTTCAATTAGAAAATTTATTACCTATTTTACTTATATTCTTCAGAGAGAGAAAGATAGCATAGTTTCACAAGATAACTTTTATTTGTTTTTAATTTACAAGCAGAATTAGACAGACATGGAGAAAATGCATTGATAATTTCTGAGTTTACTCAGGGGTCTGGGGAGATGACTTGGCAGTTAAGAGGACTAGTGTTCAGTTTAGTTCCCAGTGTCTATGTCGTCTCACAGAATGTCTGTAACTCCAGCTCTTAAGGGATCAAAAATTCCCCTCCTCCCTCCTCTGGCCTCCCTGCCCCTTCCATACACTTGCACAGATACATGAATAAAGCATATATTATAAAAAACAGATTAAACTCAGAAAGCATAAGAAATAGAGAGTGTAGGTCTGGCTATCCAACACTGTCCATCATTGTTGTGATTTGAGTTCAAAATGAATTGATACATAGTAAGCAATAACAGCAAAGCGTTGAGAGATTCTTTTTTCCCTTTCACCTCACAGAGGTCTTAATAATTATTTGTCCATTTAGGGAGACTATCAAATGACAAGACATAAAGATACTTCCTCATATTGCTGGCATCAACGAAGAATAATTTGTTCCTAACAAAAATGGAAATAGAAATAAACACAAAAACAAAGAGGAAAATTAAACCTAGATATACAGATAGCTAAAAATAATGGAATTTTAACTGTCCATATTGTTCCTGCAAGATGAAGTCATAGCATATCTCAGCAGGACCTCCAAAACTGATAGAGTAATTTAAAGTGATCACTGTTGGACAGGTATGAAATGAGAATTTATTCTATCTTTCACTAGACTTGTTAGTTAATAAAGGAATCAGGACTGGTGTTGAAATTGGTACAAAGAAGCTGGGTGGTGGTGACAAATGCCTTTAATCCCAGCTCTTGGGAGGCAGAGGCAGGTGGATCTCTGTGAGTTCGAGGCCAGCCTGGTCTACAGAGTGAGTTCCAGGACAAACTGCAAAGCAAAACAAAAAACTCTGTCTTGAAAAACAAAGAAAAACCAACAGCAGCAAAATTTGTCCAAAGATATGTTCCAGGATACATATACACATATATTTATATACATCAGAACAGCTTATTAGAAATACTGAGATGAACATAATTGCAGGAAAATTTGCTTTTACAGTGGTGAGCGATCTTAAATGAATGTGTACTAAATATGACTCTACTGTGAATTGTGTTTTGTCATAATTCTGCATGTTTATTCAGTCTGTCTCTCCAGAGATGCATAAAGCAGTCCAGTTATACAATGAAATGAAACAAAAGATACAGGTGACCATGATAAAAGAGCTGAGTCTTTTCTACTCTTCCCGATAGGAGTGTGTTAATGCATTTGACAAATACTCAATGAACACTAGCTGTACACAAAGTACCCCATAGACTTTAAGCTCTTAGTTACAGGAAGATGCTGAAAATGTTTCTGCATTATAGCAGTTGGTGTTTTGTTGCTAAAACTGAACCTGGGGTTTTCTTTGTCAGCTAGTGGCTCCACCATTAACCTTTCCCCAGTTCCTTTTTGTGTTTACTTTGCAGTAGCAAAATACATTTTTTTTTTGCTTAATGCATTTAAAAAACCTCACTGGTTGATAGGTTTTGCTCTTGATGGAACATTTAGCTGAATTATGTATTAATTACTCTTAGGATTACTTATGTATTTAGAAAACTTTTAGGAGGATGGCAGAATCTGCATGCACTTCACATTATTCAAGCTTTGGGAGCTGTTTCCTTCCTTTCATCATGGATAACAAATTATAGATCATTATAGATCTTTTTTGATCGAGAGAGAACAAAGTCTTGTTTTCTGTTCCCATGAAAAAGCTCACTATTTATTCATGTCCTTCTGGAATTCATAGAGTGTGAGGAAGTCTGGCTGAGTTTGACCAAACTTGCCTTTGCTTTTAAATTGGTTAAAATCATGAAGGAATATTAAAGTTTAGCCCAAATCAGAATCAAAATGGATGGCCCAGGGAAGTTTCAGTACGTAGTTGTGCACTTAGCACAACATTCTAAATTCTTTTTTTTGGGGGGGGAGGGGGGAGGGAGGGTTGAGACAGGGTTTCTCTGTAGCTTTGGAGCATGTCCTGGAACTAGCTCTTGTAGACCAGGCTGGCTTCGAACTCGCAGAGATCCACCTACCTCTGCCTCTCGAGAGCTGGGATTAAAGGCGTGCGTCACCATCACCCGGCCCAAATTCTTATTTAACAATAGAATTCATAATATATTTTTCATTCAGTGCTCAGGTCAGTTTTAAGTAATATATTTATAGACTGCTTTCAGTCATGACAAAAGTTAATGAACAGCAAGTATTACTGCAATCATGTGTCCTTTACCAGGAAGATGTGTTTTGAGAAATTCTGGAACATCAGAATGTGCTTACACATACCTCAGTCACTGAATGGGACTTAAAAAAATCTGTTATAAACAATCATTTTTTTATATTACAAGCCAATCCTAGTTCCCTCTCCCTCCCCTCCCCCACCTTCCCCCATGCACTCCTCAGAAAGGGTGAGGTCTCCCTGGGAAGTCAAAAAGTCTGGAACATGACTTCTTGATGTCATTGGGATTCTGTGAACAAGAAGAATGAGGCTACTGTTAGCCTAACAGGGTAGTCTGTCTCAGAGGAAAAGTGCGAGCACACTTTTAATGAAAAATTGAAGTACATTATGCGTTGTACAGAACTGCATTGCTCTCCATTTAAGACTGTCAATATAATGTCTGTTCCCATTAGTATCACCACAAATACGCAAGTAATACATTAGACGATGACATCATAGCAGGTGCCGTGTTAATCGATCCTTCTAATTCCTTTCTACTTTTTGGGATACTATCATATGTGTGATCTGTTACTGATTTAGACATCACTGTGCTATGCAGGGATTTATAAAAACAGATGATCAAGCAATAAATTTATCTTTCCAGTTAGTATATAGCAAACAGTTGCTCCAGCGTAGTGAGAATATAATGTTTTAAAATTAGTACTTTAAGACATTTAATAGAATATTTTCAGTTAAAAGTAAGAATGCGTAATACAGCTATGAAGAAAAACACAAAATCTTGGTATTTAAAGTTGATGTTAAGATACATACCTAAATACCCAGGAATAAATTATAATGATGCTTCACAAGTGTTTCAAATAATCCAATTATTGAGGTAACAAAGATATGAGAATTCACTGTTCTAGTGTATAGTTTTCTGTAGTTTTGATATTTTTTACAATAAAATGTTAAATAAAAAGCTGGAGAGATGGCTCAGCGGTTGAGAGCATTGCCTGCTCTTCCAAAGGTCTTGAGTTCAATTCCCAGCAACCACATGGTGGCTCACAACCATCTGTAATGAGGTCTGGTGCCCTCTTCTGGCCTGCAGGCATNAATGAGGTCTGGTGCCCTCTTCTGGCCTGCAGGCATACACACAGACAGAATATTGTATATATAATAAATAAATAAATATTTTAAAAAATGATAAATAAAACTAAATGCAATGCTTCATTGAACTAACTTACTCTTTTTACAATTCTAGGAAAGTTAGAATGCATGTCAGTAACATTAACAGAATCACAAGGATTTACAATGTGATTGGAACTATCAGAGGGTCTCTGGAACCTGGTGAGTCGTTAGGAAGATTAGAGCTATCAGAGGGTCTCTGGAACCTAGTGAGTTATTAAAAATCTAAAGACATTTTCTTTTAATGAAGATTAAGGAAAGATGAAATTCTGTTAATAACATATTTTTTGGTTAATTTGGAAATGAAATTCAGGGGAAGGATATTTCCACTTTAAAAGATTTTCCTTTACACTGTTGGTTGTCTTCTGTGAGGTAGTTCAGGCAGGAGAAAGTTTAATATACTTACATAAATGACTAGTGCCTGTAATGTGTGCAAGCTGAAGCTTTTGGAACACATTCTTGTCCAGATAGGTATGTCATTCTGGGAGGTCATCGTGACTCCTGGGTGTTTGGAGGGATTGACCCTACCACGGGGACTGCAGTTTTGCAAGAGATTGCCCGAAGTTTTGGAAAACTGATGGATCGAGGTAACTAGCATTTCTTAGGTAGTTGCTGACTGAAAGTGACTTGCTTAAATTCCTGTCCCTGTAGGTGGGTGTATTTAACCATGTTTACTAACATGATTACAGGCTGGAGACCTAGGAGAACTATCATTTTTGCCAGCTGGGATGCAGAAGAGTTCGGGCTGCTGGGTTCAACTGAATGGGCTGAAGTAAGTAACAGCGGAGGTACTTGTGATACTGTGTAGATTCTCTTACCTAATAGAGAATGACTCAAGGGAGTATAAGACATAGAATTTGGTTTTACTCTCAAATCTATTTGGCACAGTCGAGTCACTTCTTATGCTAAACCTATTTATTACTAAAAATATTTCATTATTTTTTTGCATTTGTATTGTGAAAATAAAGTCAGTAAACTCAGAATAATCAGAATCTGCAAGCTGTTAATCTTTTTACCTCTCATGGCAGTAATATGCTTTGATTATTAATTATAAAGTGATAATTCTATAAATTTAGTAAAGTAGCTTAACTTATTGTTTCACAGTGTTGTCTATTTTTTTTTCTTTCTTACAGGCTCTTAACTCTTAAAGAGCCTCTCCTACACACCGTCTTTCTCCTGTCCAGTTCTCCTCTGTTGGTAATGTCTAAGTTCTTACGTGTGAAAAACAAGCACACATTTTCATACCGTTGATACACTTTGTGGTGCTTGCTTTCTATCATCTGTCACATACAAGCATAAATGTTGCTGGTGTGTTCTATGCACATCTGTGTATAGTTTACAAAATGCTTTTCTCTTGACTCACTCCCTTTTACATAACTATAAAATATGAAAATATAAAATATAAAATCACATATAGCTACTTATCTGATATCACTTAGCTTTGTGGTTTATATTTACATTATAAAGTTTCATTTTGATACTGGTACCATACATATGAAATTTAGATTGATTAAATATTATTGATCAAAGTAATTTCTTCTTAGAATGTTTGACTTCTTATAATATGTGTGTGCATAAATATATTCCTTTAATTTCAGAAATTCAAAATAAAAATCAAAGAAATCTAAGATTTGCGATAGTAAATTTGCATTGATAACACAAGTGAGTTTAGAAAGAATTTCAACTTTCTTCCCAGTTTTCTGTACCAGGCCTTTTCTTTTGGGTCATTAACTAGCTCCCAAATCATGACGCAGAGACTCATTAGTTTGAATGCTCAGCCCAGCTTTGGCTCATCTCTTTTGACTGAAATTAACCTGTTTCTCTTTATCTGTCTTTTGCCCTGGACTTTTTACTTTGCTCACTTCGGTATATCTTACTTTCACTGCTTCTTGAGTGTGCTAGTTGGCAGCTGCCTGGTTGGCCCTGGGTGTATCTGTTGTTCTCTTCTTCCTCCTCTTCATCCTCTTCTCTGTCGAGCCTAGACTTCCCCTCCTGTTTATTCTCTCTGCCCAGCAGCCTTCCCTATCCTTTTCTCTGCCTAGATATTGCTGTCCTACTCTTTATTAGACCAACCAGATACCTTAGACAGGCAAGGTGAAACAAACATCTTTACATAATTAAACACACATCCTTGCATCATTAAATAAATGCAGCATAAATAAATGTAACACCTTTAAACAGTTAAAGTAATATTCTGCAGCATAAACAAATGTCACATATCTTTGTCTATTTAAAATTATTTTCCACAACACTTTTCTACAGGATATGTTGTCATATTCAATACCACATTAACTTCTCTGAAAACGTATAAGGAATTATGTATGATGATGCAAACCTTAATTCCTGGCACTCAGGTGGCAGAGGCAGGAAGATGTACAGTTTGAGGCCAGCCTGGGGTACACAATGAGATCCTGCAAATGCTGTAGTAGAGACTTTGACTGTAATCAAGGCAATCATATTAGTTACTTTTCTTGTTGGTACAAAATGCCTGAGAAAAGCAACTCAAGGTACAAAAGGTTTATTCTGCCCATAGTTCAAAGGTGCAGCCCATCATGGCAGGAAAGTAGTGAGGACGTATCTGAGAAGCAACCGAGCACATTAAATCCACAGTCAGGGATGAACTAGATAAACGCTCTGGTGCGTGCTTTCCTTCAACCCAGAACAGTAGCATAGGGAAAGGCTTTATCTTTATTTTATTCTTTTACTTCTCTATAGATTTTCATAAATATAGATAAGTGGACTTTTATTTGTTTTTCACTCTTCTACTATACTTAGGAGTCGACTTAGTGGATCTCAAACTTCAGTGGCTATAAGGATCAATTTCTAAGGACACCTGTTAGGAAACAGTTTCAGGCCTCACTTTGAACAGCTTAGAGTCAACAGATTTTATGAAGAACTACCAAATTTTGGACCCTCATCTTAGCTTATTTTGATACAGAGAATGAAGGAATTGCACCTAAAAATATCTTCTCTGGGCTTTTTGCTTTTAGTACACAGCTTTATAACATTCTCATTTTCTTATTTTAATTTTTATTGCCATCAATTAAGCAGTCATCAGAATTTTCTACAAGTTTGTGGTCACAGGCAGATACTGTATTTGACTTATAAACACCAACAGACCATTTTCCAGGAGATTTTTGTGGTTACTTTTTTTTTATTTTCTTTTTTTCTTTAATTCTTATTTATTTATTTATTTATTAAAGATTTCTGTCTCTTTCCCACCGCCGCCTCCCCTCCCCCTCCCCCCCCCCCAATCAAGTCCCCCCCCCTCGTCAGCTCAAAGAGCAATCAGGGATCTCTGCCCAGTGGGAAGTCCAAGGACCACCCACCTCCATGCTAACAACTTTGATTCTACTGCAGGAGAACGCAAAGATCTTACAGGAGAGAAGCATTGCTTACATCAACTCAGATTCATCAATAGAAGGTGCATCTTATTTTATTTTGAAATACGGCATTCAAAAGTAAATTCCATTTTTAGTAATTTTGTTTCTAGTTAGTATGCTATTCTTTTGTTCTGACTTTTTTCTGTCTTGAGATAAGTCTTAGTTGTGTTGGTGATCATGACCTTGAACTCCTCATCTTCCCCCTTCCTAAGCACTAGGATTATAGGAGTGCACCTTAGCACCCACAGTGTTTTTTGGCTTATTACTTTCTTAAGTCTATAAATTCTTAGTAGTATCTCAAATCTTATATTTAAATAAGGCTATTCAGTAATAAGTTAGCTTTTAGTTTTATTACAGGAAAAAAATAATTAATATCGATCATTATGACTTACAACTGAGCTATATGACTCCTGATTTTTTTTTTTTTTTTTTGGTCTATATTTGGTTTACCTTTGCTTGCCTTGGATTGTGATTTAAAGGCCTAACATTCACCACATTTTTCTTGTGGATGAATTAGAGAAATTTGGCTGGCATATTTCAGAAGAATGTCTCATACAAAAATATTTTCTTAATAAAACATTTCCTTGAAAATTAAAATAATATTTCCACTATTTATTGAAACTGTTTTTTGAATTGACCCATTGTATTTAGCTCTCAGTGTTTTGGTGCATTTTTGTTTATTGTCCCTGAAGCTGTTACAACTTGCATATTACTTTCTGATACATTGATCTCAAACAATGAAAGAATCAAGAATGAATTCTGTGGTCTTAATGCGTTCTTTAACATTGTCCCCTGAGAGATGGTACTACCAGGAACATTGGCTGATGACTGTGGGGGCTGCCACATCAGACGCCACAGTCCACCATCTCTTCATCTGCTCAATCAACGCACTGCAGCCTCTCCACTTCTCAAGAGCACTTTGAATTAGACAGTTACAGTATATTTGAAATAGAAAGTGCAATTAAACATAAATGGACTCATTTGGTAGTATGAAATATGACCTTTGTGTTTGGTTTATCCCTCAGGCAATTACACCCTACGAGTCGACTGCACTCCTCTTCTCTACCAGTTGGTGTATAAAGTGGCAAGAGAGGTAAATGAGAACACTTGGCCTACTAGTTTACCATGAATGGGTAACACATTTCTGGCATGATTAGCTACATTTGTTTTTAAGTTGTTATCAGAACATTGATGACTCAAATACGTAGCAGCAAAAACAAAACTTATCATATACCGTTGACTATGCAACATAATTGTGAGGATGCTAAGAAATAAAGTATTAAAAATAAGCCAAGGCATTCAGAAATCGGGCAATGCAGAAATCATTGGTCTCCATTGCCAGGCATTTCACTGTATGTCAACTTAGTGGGTAGAGTGGAGAACAGTCAGTCAAAAGACCAAAGGGGAGGAAGTCTCCAACTGGTGATTACACAGAAACACCATAAATATTAAACTAATTATACATGTTAAGTACTCATGAGAACTAAAGCACAGTGAATCCCAAAGTAAAATCAGATAGTGTGCTCCCAATATCTGTACACTCTGAGCAATCCTCCGTAATAGAATTTACTTAGAGAAGTGCTGCAGAGGCAGACCAGTGGCTGAGAGCACCAGCTGATCTTTCAGATCATCCAGAGGACCCGAGTTTGGTTACCAGCACTCAATCAGATCTCTTACAACTGCCAGTAATTCCAGCTCAAGGAATCTGACACCCTTTTCAACATCCTTGAGCACTTGAAACACATGGTGCATGAGAGCGTGCGGGCACGCGCCCGCATGCACACACACACACATACACACACAAACCAACAAAAAAAAAAATCACATCAATAAAAATAAAATGAATCTTTAAAACCAAAGAATTTGCTTGTAGAAGTGTTTGCTGCTTTAAGATCAGCCTTAGTGAAAAGAAGTGTCACTCTAATGCAGGTTTTGTTTCCTAATCTCTGTAAGCTTGCCCTACCTGCCTGTTTACTGCTAGTGTCTCTAAAAACAGGTATTTTTTTTTCAAGCAAAAGTGCTTACTATATTTCTCTTTTCCCTTTTGATGGTGTTCTTACCCTCTTGAATAAACTTATTTCCTTGTTTTTTTTTTTTTTTTCAGGCACGGTTTCATTGTAGTTATGGAGCCTATCCTGGAACTAGCTCTTGTAGACCAGGCTGGCCTCAAACTCACAGAGATCCACCTGCCTCTGCCTCCTGAGTGCTGGGATTAAAGGAGTGCACCACCACCACCCAGCTTCCCTATTCTGTTATTGGAACGTCTCAAAATAAAAGCAAGTGTAAAGAGAATCTTTATGGGGCAATACTACAGAATATGTTTTTATGATCTGTACTGTATTTGAAAAATGGCTACTGTCTTTGATGTCAGGGGTGCTAAGACCTTTGGAACCAGTAAGTAAAAGTTATTATTTGTGCATCTTGTGAAAAGACACATATTTATTATTTATAGTCATACAAAGACTCGTTAACTAAAGCGATTCCTTCACCTTCCTGTAGACAATTATTACAATTTCTTCCATCCTCCACATCTTAGTTACTTTTCTATTGTGATGAAGAGATATCATGACCGAAGAAAATTATAGAATAATGAGTTTACTGAGGACTTACACAGAGGGTGAGTCTGTGACTATCATGATGGGTAGCAAGGCAGCAGGCAGGCAGGCATGACGTAGAAGCAGTAGCTGAGAACTTAACATACTGACCTCTAAGCAGAAGGCGGAGAGAGATGTAAACAGAAATGGCATAGCCTTTTGAAATCTTAAAGTCCACCCCTAGTGAGATTCCTCCTCCATACCTCCCAATCCTTAAACAGTTCCACCTACTGGGGACCAAGCATTCAAATAAATGAGTCGTTCAGGTTTACAACTCCATAAGACTATGGATGGCTCTATCTCCCTAGAACCCTACACAGCACAGTCCAAGAAAACCTAGACAACAAAGAGGAACCTAAGAGAGACATACCTAGATCCAATCTACATGGGAAGTAGAAAAAGACAAGATCTCCTGACTAAATTGGGAGCATGGGGATCATGGAAGAGGGTAGAAGGGAGGGGAGCAGAAAAAAATATATATAGCTTAATAAAAACAATTTAAAAAAACATCAAAAAAGAGAAGCAAGTGCTTAACTGCTGAGCCACTTCTCAGCCTATAGTCTTAAAGAAATTGTGTGTGTGTGTGTGTGTGTGTGTGTGTGTGTGTGTGTGTGTGGTTTGTAGGACTCAGTTTTCTCCTACTATGTAGGTCCTGGGAACTCCATTCTACTTTTAGGCATTGGACCAAATACCTTTAGCTGTTGAGCCATCTCACCATCCATAAACTCTTTTCATAAAAAAAAAAAAAAGTTTTGGTTAGCTAATAGAACAACAGGCTTCCACATGACTTCTTACATCATTACTAATTCTCCCCACAATCTTATTTAAATTTCACCATCCTGGTATGTCCCCTTCCAGTCTCATATCATAACACATGAGTTCTACTATCCATCCATCTTTAGAACTCTTCCCTAACCCCATATTCCCTTTATAATTTTCTACTCTCTATCAACATTCCAAGTTAAATACAAAATTAAATTACAAAGTATGACACATATATAAAAAAGAACACATAGCATTTGAGATATCTCAGTAAATATTACCCCCAATTCTACCCATTTTCTACAAATTTCATTTTTATTTGGTACTAAATAGCATTGCATTGTATAAATGTGACACATTTTACTTACCTACATTTCAGTTGATGGACATCTAGTTTGATTTCATTTCCTAACTATTGTGATTCCATTCCCTAACTATTGGGAAGAATACAGTAATGACCACGAATGTGCAGTGTCTCTATTGTTAGCTTTTTGGGTGTATGTGCAGAAGTGATATAGCTGAGTCATATGAAGATCTATTTTTATTTTGAAAAAGTGCCACATTGATTTCCATAGTAACTGTACCAGTGTATAAAGGTTTCCATTTCCTCACATTAAGAAAATCCAGCTTTGCTTAAACATAAAATAATAATTTAAAAATATAAATAATTATTCTCACTATTCCTGACTTCTTTTCCAGCAAAAGTAGGATCCATCTGCTTGGATAAAGGCAATTTATTATAGAAACTATCTACATTTTCTACAGTATCTTTACCTGAAACAATTTAAAACTTTCCTTTAAGATGTTATTAATAAAAAAAGGAAATCCCCTTTTTAGGTAGTTGGCAACATTGCCAACAACAGTCATCATAAATGTAGAAGAATTTGTGCTAGTTCTTTCCTTCTCTTAGGAGCTGCAAAATTTACTATTTTATGCAAGTCAACATGACGTATGCATGCGCAGATAGCAACAGAAATTGATACTAAGTGCAGATGGAGTTATATTGGGTTCACATTTGCTTCCATTCCTGATGCCCACTGTTTTGTTTTTCTAGATCTACAGCCCTGATGATGGTTTTGAAAGCAAATCACTTTATGAAAGCTGGCTGGAAAAAGACCCTTCACCTGAAAATAAAGTTTTTCCTAGGTAAATTAATGTATGTAGCTTTTCTACCCTGGGATAAATACAGATTGCTCCTTTTCCCTTGCTCCTCCAAACTTGCAATGCTTACAGAGCTCATCAATAATGTAAATAAATTCAATAAAGCTGTCCAGTCAGTTGCTGTTTTTCTTACTAGTCAGCTCAGACACATTTTTAGTGTTCAGTGTAACATAGATAGATATATTTTTGAAAATTTTCAACTAAACTGATTTTGTGGGGACTTGAGAAATAACTTGGCAATTAAGAGTATTTGCTGCTCTACCATTGGACCCAAGTTCAGTTACCAGCACCCATGTCAGGTGGCTCACAACCATCTCTCACTGGCTCCAGGAGACTCAATAGCCTCTTCTGGATTTTGTGGGCACCTGAACATCCTTGTATATATATGAAAATATATGCATATAAATATAAGTAAAATTAAATTTTGTAATGATTTTGCTATTTATTAGTCATTATTTGGCATCTTTACAGAAATATAATTTTAGATATGTAGTATATGCTTTAAATAATAGCATAACTTCATGTGATAATGATGTAAAGCATAAATGTACTGTGGGTGTTCATGAGTGTGGGTGTGTATGGATGTATGTGTGTGTTCATGTGTTTGGATGTGTATCGATGTGAGTATTCATGTGTGTGGACATGATATACATGTCTGTTTATCTGTTATATATGTGTGTGTGTACATGTTGATGTGTGTGGGTGTGTGTATGTGTGTACATGTTGATGTGTGTGGGTGTGGTATATGTGTGTGTGCATGTGTGTGTGTATATGTGTGTATGTGGTATATACGTGTTGGTGGAGGCCAGAGGTTGATGCCAGGATCTTTCTCCATTGATTCCCAACCTTGTTTTTTTTCTTAAAAAAGATTTATTATATTTTAATGATGTGTATATATGTGCATCTGTGTGTTGGTATGTGCATGTGTCCTCAGAGGCCAGATGAGATGGATAAACTGAAATGGAATTTACAGTCAGTTTGAGCCATGTGTTGTAGGTTCTGGGAACTGAATTCAAGTCCTTTGGAAGAGCAGTATATATGATTTTAGTCACTGAGCTGTCTCTCCAGTCCCTCTACTTTATTTATTTTTACTTTTTCATGATAGATCATTCACTGAACCTAGAGCACCCAGCAAAACTGGCTGGTTGTGGATTTCCAGAATCTGTCTGCCCCTTACCCTCAGTTCTGGGGTTTGAGATATGAGTGGCCACGATTGGCTTTTATGTGGATTGTGGAAATCTGAACTCTTAAGTCCTCATGGTTGCACAGAAAACACTTTGCCCACTGATTCATCTCTCTAACCCCCTCATTTTTATTTTATATTTAATAAAGGGCATTATCAATAATCTTTAAATTGTGTGTTTTTCTGCAATCAATTTAGATTTTTGATTTTTATCATTTTACATTTTCTCATTCATGTAGTAGTGACTTCTTAAATTTATTATATAGCTATTCATTTTTATTACAATATGATTTATAAAACTGACAGAAGATGATAGTAATTTATAGCTTTGTTCTATTTCTTGAAGTCATTTAAAATATTGTATTTAATTTTTAATTGTAATTTTTGTCTATTTTTTAAGACTATAATTATATCATTTACCTCTTCTGTTCCCTCCTTCCTATCCTCCCTATAAACTTTGCTCCCCCCCACACTCTTTCAAATCCATGGCCTCTTTTTCTTTAATTGTTACATATATGTGTGTCTATATGTGTACATAGAAACATTCAGTGTGCATACCCCTAAATTTATTTATAAACACAATTTACTCCTTGTGCTGTTAGCTGTATATGTTTTCAGGAATGACCATTTGGTATTGGATAACCAGTTGGTGAGCCCTTTCCTGGGAGAAGACTATTTCTTCTGTCCTCATCATTCCTTAGCTGATGTAGTTCTTTGTCTGGGTTGAAGCCTCCCTCATGAGCTTTCCTCCATCCCCTGGCTGCATATCCATTGGCATTGTCCTCGTTCAGCTCCTGTTTAGGCAGCCATGTTGGTCAAAGTTCATGGGAGAAGCTTCTCTGGCATTGCCAGGAGACACAATCTCAGAGCAACCTTCTGATTCCTCTGGATCTTACAATTTTTCTGCCTCCTTTTTCACAATGATCCCTGAGCCGTAAGTTTCAGAGGTTCTGTTGTAGATGTATTAGTTGGGACTAGGCTCGACAACTAGGCATTTTGATCAGTTATGATTTTATGTACTGGTTTATGTCTGTTGCAAAGAGAATTTTCATCGGTGTGTAATGAGAATGACATTTTGTGGGGTATGATGATACATATTATATTTATAAAAGTTAAAGCTTATGCTGGTTTAATGAAGTGACAATTGTGAGTTCTCCTCTTATATCAATGACTGCACTAGTACTGGGTGCTAGTACTGTTGGCTAGGTTTCCAGTATAGAAATGATTTCCCCTTCCCTTTACTGTCTCCCAAAGCCTCCAGTTTACTCCCCTTCCCAGGGCGATCCGTGTGTCCTTCTTAGGGTCCTCCTTGTTACCTAGCTTCTATGGAACTGTGGGTTGTAGTCTGGTTATCCTTTACTTACATTTAATATCCACTTATAAGTATGAATATGCCATGTTTGTCTCTCTGAGCTTGGCTTATCTCATTCATGATAACTTTTTTTAGTTCCACCTATTTGACTTTAAATGTCATGGTGTCACTGATTTTGACAGCTAAGTAAATGTATCATATTTTCTTTAACCATTCTTCAGTTCAAGGGCATCTAGGTTGTTTCCAGGTTCTGGCTATTATGAATAATGCTGCTATGAACATTGCTGAGGATGTGTCCTTGTGGTATGATTGAGTATGGCTGGGTCTTGAGGTATTCCACATTTCTGAGAAACCACCATACAAAGTGGTTGAACAAGTTTAAACTCCCACCAGCAATGGAGAAGTGTTCCCCTGACTCCACATCCTCTTCAACATCAGGTGTCCTCAGTATTTTTTTTTTTTATTTTAACCATTCTGAAAGGTATAAGATGGAATCTCAGAGTCATTTTATTTGTATGTTGAGCAATTTCTTAAATATCTTTTGGCCATTTGAGATTCTTCTGATGAAAGTTCTCTGTTTAGCTGTGTACTCCAATAAATTGGCGTATTTTATATTTTGATGTCTAGTTTCTTGAATTCTTAATATATTTTGGAGATCAGCCATCTGTCAGATGTAGGATTGGTGAAGATTTTTGCCCATTCTGTAGGCTGTCCTTGAAATACAGACAGCGTCTCAACAGAGTGGATCAAGAGGTGAATGACCAGCCTCTCAGCTAGATAGCCCAGGCTCTAGACCCTGGGCAAAAATGCAGGCCCCTTCCCTACCTGTTTTAGCTGCATTTTGTATCTTAATCCATTTAGTCAGTTCATGTATTTTGATTTAAGAATTGAGGTTTTGATATTTAAAGTTATTTTTTTAATGTTGGCTGCAGTTACTATGTAGTTGATTTTTGGGTTCTTTGTGGATTGTATTTTAGTAATTGTAGCTTTATATTTCCTTTGACTGTTTATTCCTCTTTAGATTTGCTTTGTTGTGTGTGTGTGTGTTTGTGTGTGTGTGTGTGTGTGTGTGTGTCTGTTTAGTCTGTTTGTATCATTGGAAGTTTTTCATTTTCTGTCAATTATCATGGCTACTTTTACTGGATATATCAGTCTAGACTGGCCATTGATGTCTTTTAGTACTTAAAATCCATTGCTCCAGGCTCTTCCAGCTTTAATAATTTCCACTGAGAAATCACCTATTATTCTGATGGGTTTTCCTTTATATATGACTTGTGGTTATTCTCTTATAGCTCTCAATAATCTTTGTTATGCATATTTAGTGTTTTAACTATAATTTATCATGGGAATTTTCTTTTCTGATCTTGTATATTTGGCATTCTGTGTGCTTCTGGTATCTATATGAGTATGTCTTTTCCTGTTTGAGAAAGTTTTCTTCAATGATTTAGATGAAGATCTGGTCTGTGTAATTGACCTGGGACCCCTCTCCTTCATCTATTCTTATAATTTGAAGGTTTGGCTTTTTTAAAATAGTGTTTCACATTTCTTGTATATTCCTTTATTTATTTATTTTTTATTGAAAAAAAATTCTGCCTCCTCCCAGCCTCCCATTTCTCTCCCCCTCCTCTCCCCTTCCCCCTACTCCTCTCCCCCTCCCTCTCCAGTCCGAAGACCAGTCAGGGTTCCCTGCCCTGTGGAAAGTCCAAGGTCCTCCCCCCTCCATCTAGGTCTAGAAAGGTGAGCATCCAAACTGGCTAGGCTCCCACAAAGCCAGAACATGAAGTAGGATCAAAACCCAGTGCCATTGTCCTTGGCTTCTCATCAGCCCTCATTGTCCGCCATGTTCAGAGAGTCTGGTTTTATCCCATGCTTTTTCAGTCCCAGTCCAACTGGCCTTGGTGAGCTCCCAATAGATCAGCCCCACTGTCTCAGTGGGTGGGTGCACCCCTCGTGGTCCTGACATCCTTGCTCATGTTCTCCCTCCTTCTGCTCCTCATTGGGACCTTGGGAGCTCATTCCAGTGCTCCAATGTGCGTCTCTGTCTCTATCTCCATCCATCACCAGATGAAGGTTCTATGGTGATATGCAAGATATTCATCAGTATGGCTATAGGATAGGGCCTTTTCAGGTTCCCTATCCTCAGCTGCCCAAGGAACTAACTGGGTACATCTCTCTGGACACCTGGGAATCCCTCTAGAGTCAAGTCTCTTGTCAACCCTAAGATGGCTCCCTTAATTAAGATATATGTTTCCCTGCTCCCATATCCATCCTTCCTTTATCCCAACCATCCCATTTCCCCAAGTTCTCCCCATCCTCCCCTTCTCACTTTTCTCTCCCCATCTCCCCTTACCCCCATCCCACCCCACCCCCAAGATCCCAATTTTTTGCCCGGCAATCTTGTCTACTTCCCATATCCAGGAGGATAACTATATGTTTTTCTTTGGGTTCCCATTCTTATTTAGCTTCTTTAGGATCACAAATTATAGACTCAATGCCCTTTATTTATGGCTAGAAACCAATTCATAGAAATCCTCTATTTTGTCTTTGAGTTCTGATCTTCTATTTTCTACTTGATTAATTCTTCTTGTAAGGCTTTCCTTTGAGCTTTCTAATTGGAGGTATTGTTTTTTTCAATGCCATCTTTATTTCAGTTTGAGTCCCTCTTCAATGTTTCTATGTATTGAATTCTTTTTCTAAATCCTGGATTGTCTCCATAATTTCTATAAGCCTTACATTTGTGTTTTTTGGAGCATTACTGAGGCATTTATTCTCTTTAACTTCATTGAGATATTTCTTTTTGTCTTCTTTAAACCTCTCAAAATTTTGATGACGCTTGTAATTTTTCTTTTAAATTGCATCCTGGGGTTCATCTAGGTAGTGCTCATTGGCACACATTTCCTTAGAACTGGTCAATTATTTTTTGAATGTGGGTGTACTGCTTTGATATTGCATAATATTATTTGTATTTTTGTGGCTAGATCTGGACAAGTGGGCTTCTTTTATTAGCTGGTTTTGGACTATGTCCTGTCTAAGGATGTTATTTATTTTGATTAGTGTGTGTGTGCATGTGTGTGTATCCTCATTCATATGACACATATTTATGTGGAGGTCAAAGGACAATTTTTCCTTGATTCCCTCCATTTTCATGTGATTTCTAAGATCAAACTCGGGTTATCAGGGTTGTTGGCAAGAGTCATTATCCTTGGGCTGGAGAGATTGTTTAATGGTTAAGAATACTGGCTGTTCTTCCAAAGGTTCTAAGTTCAATTCCCAGCAACTACATGGTGGTTCACCATCATTCATAATGAGATCTGGTGCCCTCTTCTGGCCTGAAGGCATACATGCAGGCAAACACTGTATACATAATAAATAAATAAATTTTGGTTTTTTAAAAAAAAGAATCATTATCCTCTAAGCCATCTTAATGGCTCCCAAATTAGTCTTGCAAAAGTTTAAATGTTTTTCTCCCATTATAAAAGTTTCATATGCTTATTCAGCAAAAAAGTAAAAGCAAGTTCTTCCTATAAACAGCTTGAGATGGCCTATGAAAATGGTTTACTAAGTGGTTCAAATATTTCTGTTAATTTAAAAAATATTAGTCTTCATTGTTCTGTAGTACTGACAAACTCTGATCATATTTAATGTAGCTTGTCCTAGAAAATAATAGGGGGATAGCTTGACATTGTTTTAGCTCCTTATAATTCATATAGCAATTTGGTATGCAAATTCTTAACTACTCTTGGAGCAGGATTCATTTTCCCATCTGTTTGATTTCATATTATTTATTATTATATCTGTTTATTTATTTATAATTTATATCTAGAATCAATAAGCTGGGATCGGGAAGTGATTTTGAAGCTTATTTTCAGAGACTTGGAATTGCTTCAGCCAGAGCTCGCTACACTAAGAACAGGGTAAGCCATCTAGTAATTATTAATAAGTAGTATATCAGTTCACTTTTTATCATTCTAACAAGATACCTGGAATGATCATCTCACAAAGAAGTTTGTTTTGTTCATGGTTTCGGAGGTCTCGGCCTGAAGTGTTTGTACCACCTCTTGTGGGGTTGTGGTGAGTCAGTACACCATGGTGGGAAGAAAGCTGCTTACCTTAAGTCAGCCAGGCAGCAAAGAGGGATTAGAAGGAGCTGTATTGCCACTTCCTCTCCTAGGGCATTTCCCAGTACCTTTTCTGGGGGCATTTCTTTTTCGTTATGAAATAGTGTGTTTTATTACGACTTTTTCATATATGCATACAATGAATTTTAACAATGATTATACTGTCTCTTGTACTGTCTACACCCTCTCATACTTCCCCCTATAGTTTTTGTTTTGTTTCAAATAATACTGCATCTACTGTCATGTCTTTTGTTTTAAATTTAGATATGTAGATTCTGTAAATTGGGAAAATATAGCATATTTTTTATTTTCTCTATGACTTTGTTTAAATGGAACTCAAGCTCCATCCATTTTTCTATAGCACTTCTTAAAATTGTTCTACTCCACTGGGAGGATAAGCTTGAACTTACAAGTCTTTGTATAAGTCTTTGGATGGAGGTTATTCCAGGTCCAAACCATAGCAACATTTCACTAATATGAACTAGAATTGAATTGCATATCATCAGGTAGTAGGTGGACGTGGGACCCAAGAAGAGTTCAGAGATGCAGACAGACTGCTTGTTTCTGCTCCTTTGTAGATACACTATGAAGGAATGCGGGCTGTTCTGTGAATGCATTACTACTAAGGTTTTTCATTGAAATGGTAGTTCATGTATAAATGTCAGATGCATAGCTGTTTATACATATTTTCTCAACAGAGAATTTGTTGGAAAAATCTTATTTTGTTCTGTGGATGTAGCTCAGTTGGTCGAGTGCTTGCCCAGGGTGCATGAAGCCTTGGGTTCCTTTCCCTAAAATGGTCTTGGTAGTACATGCCTGTAATCCCAGTACTTGGAGTGAAACTAAGGGGAACCGAAATTCAAGGTCATCCTTGGCTACATAGAGAGCTCGAAATCAGCCTGGGCTAGACTCTCACTCAAACTAAATAAAAAAAAAAAAGTAAATAAATAAAATTTTATTTTGTAGTCCAGTTGTATAGGCTCTATATGCTTTTTCCTCAGAAGAAATGTTTTTGTTGAGGGACATGCCAGGCTAGGGTTGTATGTTATCAGTTCCCCTTCTACATATTGTTGTCTGTCATGAAGCAAGGCCAATGGGTAGAGAACAGAGCAAATTTCTCTCAATTTTTAATTTCCTCCTACTTTCTATTCTGTACTGCTTAGTTCATATCATTGTCAGTCAACCATTCTGATGACTTGCAAGTACTAAGAAGTAGTGAATGTGTGCTGTGTTGCTTTGACAATATCTTAAGTTCTGTCATACACCACATATTAGCAGACTTGGCTTCTTTGCACCTTTTAATCAATTCCAAACCCAAAGTACCATATACCAACATCTTGCTTGTACATAATGCATATTGGTTGTCTGATTATCCTGAATACAACCAATGATAAAGAAGCAAAGATACTTCCAGAATACTGTAAATTTTCTATATACTATACTATTGTATATTGTATACTATATATCAATACTCATTTATTTTTACTACACCTGAACATCAAGCAACATGAGTTTAAATGGTACGAGTCCATTTAGGTGTAAATATTCTTGAGATTTTTCTGCAATTTGAAAAAGATTATAAAGTACAGACTCTAGAAATGTCAAAAAAAACTTTAAGAGCTAGGTATGTCCTACATAAAATATATGCAGATGAGTCTACTCTCACCTCTTGCTGCTATGAAATATATACAAAATAATGCAAAAAAAATTTATCAAAGTTATTTATTGAATTATGCATGGCACCATTTGCAATACAACAAAATATAAGTAAAGATGAAGATATTACATTAAATTATAGCTGTGTAAAGTGAACTATAGAATGTAATATACTACTGAAGTCATTCTACAGCTCTTGTGTAGCTCTGTGGTATGACTGTTTGGAGTATTTACTGAAAGTGCTATGTGACACTAATCATGGGGGCTTGAGCTCTTTACCTCTATAGTAAGGTGCATACTATAGTAAAAAATGTGTGATGGGTCTCACATACTTTGATCATATAGAATACACAGAGTATACACAATGTGTGTTGTTTATATTAGTAGTAGTTTAGTTGATATATATACTAATTTTGAAATTAGATTGGCTCTTTCTAATTCCTGTGTGATTTAGGGGTCAACTGCATGTGTAAAGTGTGACTTAGCTATATCACTTTATTCACTATTACACTGTCACAAGTTTGAAGAAAGTTGTCTAATATTCAAGAAACACACAATTAGAAGAAAGGGAACTAATACTGGATTGTTTTTTATGATCCAGAGTTGTAAGAATGGTAGTCCTATAAGAATATAGCAGGCCAGTCGGTGGTGGCGCATGCCTTTAATCCCAGTACTTGGGAGGCAGAGGCAGGAGGATCTCTGTGAGTGCAAGGCCAGTCTGTTCTGCAAGAGCTAGTTCCAGGACAGGCTCCAAAGCTACAGAGAAACCCTGTCTCGAAAAACAAACAAACAAACAAAACAAAACAAAACTATGGGCTAGAGAGATGGCTCAGTGGTTAAGAGCACTGACTGCTCATCCGGAGGTCCTGAGTTCAATTCCCAGCACCCACATGGTGGTTCACAGCCATCTGTAATGAGATCTGGTACCCTCTTCTGGCCTGCAGGCATGCATGCAGACAGAACATTGTACACATAAAAAGAAAAAAAAAGAATATACCAGATAGTAAAAAATAAAATTAGGATATTCAAACCGAAGATCTCAAACTATGTCCACAAACTATGTAGTAACATGTTCACTACAGATACTCCCAGAGTATTATCAAGGGTTGATAGCCTTTTTTGAGCACTGCTTGGTTAGGGAAAGAATACATTACCTTTCTGTAGACATTAAGCTACCCAGAACATTTCATACACTTGATCAACTCATAGTTTTGAATTGTGCTGATTTGAAGAAGTATTTCTTCAGTTATAAAAACTGGATGAAGGTTACAGGAATTACACAATGAAGACAGGCATATAAAAATTTTAAGTTTGTGAGCATTTTGGCTGTAGTGTTTTAATTATATTTTTAACTTACTCACTTAGTTGATGAAATCAGGGCTTTCGTCTATTTTTCTTTAATCATGTCTATGTTTAAAATATAAATTGAAAATATAATTCTTATTTTTCAATCTTTCTCCATTTTAGAAAACAGATAAATACAGTAGCTATCCTGTATACCATACCATCTATGAGACATTTGAATTAGTAGAGAAGTTTTATGACCCGACATTTAAAAAACAGCTTTCTGTGGCTCAGATGCGAGGAGCATTGGTATATGAGCTTGCAGACTCCGTAATCATTCCTTTCAACGTTCAAGACTATGCAAAAGCCTTGAAAACCTATGCAGCAAGTATTTTCAGTTTATCCAGGAAACATGACCAGCAACTGAGAAAACATGTGGTGTCATTTGGTAAGATTTTATAGACTTTGTTGTAAACTTTTTTAGTTCCTATCATGGTCAGTACATTCTAGAAGAAATACCTGCCCATTTACTAATTATATCTGACAAGAACTTTAAATAAATGCTGAATTAGAGATCTGATTTAATCTGAAATGCCTATGATGAAACCATTACTTATGAAGTAGTGTTACAAAAATTAAATTAGGCAAATATTTTTCTATATTACTATTTTTATTAATATTTCCAAATGTTAAAAATTATAGTCACAAATTATTGTGTATATGTATACATACTATTTTTGCTGAATATATTCATCAGTATTTGTGTACATGAAGGCTATTTTGCATAGATATGGTCAGCCTTTCATTTTATGACTGGCTCTTCATGTCATATGTCTTCTATAACGTAGGGGTGAAACACATTACAATGCAGTGACATTAAACACTGGACCTGGAAGCACTGGATCTTGGCCTGACTCAGATATTCCCCCTTCCACTTAGTACCTGTGACCTTAAGAACACTTAACTTCTGGGCTGACAACTTTTTAAGCCATGAACCAGTAAAACACGCTTCACTGTTGGGGAGATTATTAGGGAATCTGTAGATCAGTAGCTATCAGTGCTGAGTGTTCAGTGAATGTTGCCTACTGGCACTAATTATGAATATTTTCTTTCCTGACTCCCAGATATATATTCTTTGTATATACAAAAATAATTTTGTATTGCATGTCTGTTGCGTACCAAGTATATTATTAATGTTAAAGTTCTATTTGTTAATTTTTCAAAGAGCTTGAAATTTAATGTGAGAAAGGGGAAGGCAAATACAGATGACAAGTTATTAGAGGGGCAAAAAGAATAACTAACAGCATAGAGAATAGGGATGGAGCTGCTCATTAGCGGCAGGTGAATGTTATTTTGATTATTACATTAGGATTAGTTACCTTTATGAAGTTATGAAGAACAGCAAATATTTTATTCATTTTAAATTAAAAATTACATTTCTAGAGTCATTGTGGGGGCAGATGTTGTGTGCTACCATGTAGACATGGAGGTCAAAGTACAATTTGTGGGAGTTGGTTCTCTCCTACTATGCGGGTCTCAGGCATTTATACCCCCATCCAGTCCTCCTCTGTCTCCACTTAGATGGTACAATCAACAAAGCATGGCAAACCAAGCTGAGACAGGACCAAGCTTCCCCCCTGCCCCCACTGCTTCATCAACTGTGAACAAGGCATCCACCAATGGGATTAGGTTCCAAAACTCCAACTCATGCATCAGAACAGGTTCTGGTCCCACTGCTAGGGGCCCCACAAAAGACCACACTACACAATTGTCACTCAAATGCAGAGGGCCTAGTTCAGTCCCAGGCTGGCTCCCAAGCTGTTTGTCCAGAGTCTGTGAGCTCCCACAAGCTCAGGTCAGTGGTCTCTGCAGGTTTCCTCATCACAATCTTGATGCCCCTCTACCCTCTCTTCAACTAGACTCCCAGAGCCCAGCCCAGTGGTTGGCTGTGGATCTTTGTATCTGCTTCCATCAGGTACTGGATGAAGGCTCTATGATGACAACTAGGGTAGTCACCAATTTGATTACAGGGAAAGGCAGTATATCAATCATGCATGTCAATTCCTGCTTGGAACACACACAACATGGCAAATAGGTTGTTGTAATAAAAAGTAGGTGCTGAAAGTCTAATTATATTTTTAATATAATTTTATGAAATAAAACTATATTATTTCATAAAGTTTTATGAAATAAAAGTTTATGAAATAAAGAAAAATATGTCCAGACCAAACCTTATACTGTTTCTCCATCTAGATATATTAATTTGTCACAAGTCACCATTTGAAAAAGATGTTAATATATCATTATTTGAAAAATAAGAATTGGTATTGTTTTAATCCTGTAATAATGGCAGATAATATCATATTTATACATATATCCAGTAGCTAACATATCATAATTGCTAATTGTTCCAATAAATATATTTAATTAAAGAATGCTGGAGTTTGGGTAAGTAACTGATTGCGGTATTATTTGTTTCCTGTACTTGTGAAAGGAATTCTCTTAAGAACCAAATTAGGCGAATGCTGTAGAGATGACTCAGTGATTAAAAGCACTTTCTGGTCTATCATGAGAACGGGAGTTCAGTTCTCAAGACTCATCATGTCATGAGGACCATAAATACCTGTGATTCTAGCTCCAAAAGAGATCTCACCCCCTCTTCTGATCTCCATGGATACCAGGACACAAGTACACACACACACACACACACACGCATACTAAAAAAAAAAAAAACCACACAATTTGACTACATTTAAAATTCCCATCTTTTTGCTTAATCCTTTTCAGGAATCCACAAGAAGGGTCCCTAGAACAAAGGTTTTCCATTGTTTGGTCCTATCAGGGAGAGGGTGGAAATGTGAACCTCTGAAATGTGAACTACTAACTAAATTCTTTTACTTTTCTGTTTTTAAAAAAGATTCCTTATTTTCTGCTGTGACAAACTTTTCAGAGGCTGCTTCAGACTTTCATAGAAGACTCTCACAAGTTGATCTTACTAAGTAAGTTTCAGCTGCCTACTCTCAGAGGGGCAGACTGTCTTTGTGTGTGTAGAATGCAAAGTCATTGCTGCTTAAGCCATGGTCTGCAAGACAGCAGCATCAGCAAGATTCGCCAGCTTCTTAGAACCCAGAAAGACATGCTTAGAGTTGTCTTTTCTCTAATATGTCTTTTCCAACCACTCACTTAAGCCCTCTGTTGTTCCCTTCCCTAGCTCCATTCTCAAGTTCATGGCCTCTTCTTTGTAATAACTAGGGCTCTCAGAGTTCTGTATTTTTTTTAATTTACACTAATGCAAAGTTGAATTTGTGTGATGAGAGTTACAGTTGGTAATTCATAACTATAAACTTGGGTGCTTTGAATATATTTCTGTATAGTCCTTCTCAATACCTAGTCACCAATCAACCACTTCTTTTGTATAGATTTTTTTTCTGGAATTTTTTTGTTATTGCCACTTTTAGGTAGAAAATAATTTTTATATTATATGAAAACATTATACAATAAATATGGATTGCACCAAGTATACTTTAGTTTTTCAGACTGAAACAGCAAGCTGTATCAGTCATTTTGAGGAGGCTCTCTTAACCCTTGGATTGTGGGAGAGCCCAAAGATGTACGTAGATTAACTATGCAGAAGCAGTGTAAGGATTGTGAATGGGAAAGGACCGCCTGCTCACCATGGCAAGCTGTCCTCCCTTTCTCACAGATTTCAGAATCCTTTACTCTGTGTTGTTGTTCATCTTTATTCTATTTCTTTCCTCCAGAGTAGGACTGTGTGAGTCATTAGGAATGACTTGGCAGTTTCCTCCATCTTTCTGGGGGGTCTGGTTAGCCTACAGAGAAGTAAAGAATAGCTTTCATTTCTTTTTGACCACTTTGTGGCCTTGAAAAACAAAACAATCCACTTCTCAATAGCATTCTGTGTCTGTTGTAAATGCTAAGATGACCCTGCTCTTACATGTTGCTTGCTATGTGACATGTTACCATGTCCACATTATTTCTCCTAATGGTCTACTGATTATTTTATCTTTCCATGCAATATATTTATTTAATATTAGTTGAATTATGGCCTGCTAGTAGAGATTTTAATGATGTGTTTCTTACTCTCCAAGTCCTATTGCAGTGAGAATTGTGAATGACCAACTGATGCTTCTGGAAAGAGCATTCATAGATCCTCTTGGTTTACCCGGGAGGCGGTTCTACAGGTAAGAGGAAGACGTGTGTTCTACAGAGGGCACCAAACACTATAGTCAAAGAAGTATATCAAAGCTGATTTAATAAATGCCATCATAGCAGTATGAAATATATTAATGTAATATAAATGCTAAATGTAATATGAGTACAATTATGTTCCAGTAATAGTATAATGTGTAATATTGGAGAAATACTTCTCATATCAATTAGTTCTTCACTGTGGACCAAATTGAGAAAAAGCTTTAACACAGTATTTCAGCCACAGAGTTCGAAAGGAACATTAGCACACATGTAGTCCAAGTCTAGTGAATTCTTCCTGTATGCTTTCGGGTAGGTAAATATTCAGTCTGCTTCAGACTTCATGATATATACCTCACTGGTCCCTAAAGAAGCCCATTATATTTTTTGAAGGAATAATTATTAGAAAATTACTTTCATAAAGATCTCAAATCTTTTATCCTGCATAATGTTTTCATCTAACCTGACCTTTTTTCCCAAGTAAAACAAGTTTACTTTATTACATTAAAGTTAGTTTCATTCCATATACTGATTTAAGTTGTTAAGATAATTGTCATGTCCTTGGAAGTTGGAAGAAACATTATTTTGTTTCAGGTTATTTTTTTGTTTTGTATTTATGTCATATTTTCTTTTAGTATCTTAAAGCTATCCCCTCCCCTCCCCCAATTTATTTTCTTAAGGTCCTTATGACTGGAGAGATGGCTTAGTGATTAAGGGCACTTGATTCTCGGCACCTATGTGGTGGCTCCCAACCATCTGCAACTCAGTCTCTTCCTAACTCTGGAGGCACCAGGCATGCATGCGGTACACATACATACACCCAGGCAAAGCAGTTATGCACATAACAATGTAAATAAATCTAAAAACTACTCTAAATGGTGCCTTAATCGAAATTAAGATGGCTCTAGCATTTAAAGTCAGAAAAAAATCTTCACTCATGGTCATGCAAAGTAGGACTGGGTGCAGTTTCAGGGGTTCAGTGCTCTTCAATAGCATGCCTCTAGGATTTGCCTGTCTGAATTAACATAGTAAATGCTACTTTACAAAGCTAGTGATCGCCTTTCTAAATGTTAGTTGTTAGGACTAACAGCCAAATGGTATAAATAGAACTTTTAGAGCAGGGACCTTCCACTGTGACCTGGGAGATTATTTCTCTAAACCTTTGGTTTCTCAGCTGCAAATGGAGATTTTAGCTGTTTACCATTGAGGCCTGTAGATTTAAGGCTTCTGAAGATTGAGCTAGGAGACGGAGGCACTCTGGGGTGTGAGCTGTATTTATAAATAAATGTCTGTTTATTCATAGATATAAATTGGAGATAATAGTTATGAATATGTATGCATATATAACCAGAAACATCCACTATTTTAGTATTTTCTCGAAACTTATTGTTAGGAAGATTCCTAACGCGAGCTCCCTGCTGACGCAAAATTCCCAATCAAGCTGAATGAAAACAAGCCAAATTAAGAAATATCCAGGTTTAATGGGAGGTCTGTGCTCTGGGTGGCCCCCGAGGAGCCCCATGAATGCGACCTCCAGGAGGAAGAAAGGCAGACCATGTGTGTCTTTCTGGAGATCACTTAAATACCCTGGGTTAAAGTGATCCTGACTCCACCCCCAGGGAGAGGTTAGGACCTGGCCTGCTGGGATTTGGAGTCCAGACCAGGCCTGGCGGGCTGGGATAGATGTGAGGGGCTGGGGCCTATGCTCCCAACTTGACAATTACTAGTCTATTGATCCTTTAGAACCACTTTTTATAATGAAAACATCTGCACTTTTTCAGACTGTGAAGTATGGAATCTAGAAACAGTTCTTTTTTACCAGTTTCCTCCTCACTTGTACATATAGTTCTGCTAATCTTTTCAGGGGAACTCAACATCATGTGAACTGATACCACACTTATGTAATGTATATGTATGTATATATAAATATGTACTTTATATGCATGTTTAAATGTAACTGTACACACATATTTATGGGTAATTCTGCTTACTATATTCATGTACTATATTTGCATGTAAATGTGTGTATTTATATATACATATAGTTTTTTTTTAATATATAAATGGAGCCATACATTATTTTACGTTTTTCTTTTTCTTTTTTTTTTTTTATCAAGAGTTAATTTGTTGATGTCAGCATGGAAGATATTAGCACTTTAATCCCCCACATAGTATTTCAGAGTTTGGCTTTCATTTATAGAATTAATGACTTATTATTGAGATTTGTTAGATGAGCTTCTCCCACCCATTATGAAATACACTTCTGTAAGATGTACTTGTGTTCTATTTGAGCATTTATAAATATTAGTATCTCTATAATCAGGACCTGGTATTTAGGGCCAAAAAAGGCAACACATTTTAAAGTTTGATGAGAATATGTCAAAATGTCCTCCAAAGCTACCATGCTATATGTTAAGAATATATTTTTAAACTGTTAACTGAATATGTAGATACCAAAGTAGTTCATATTGTTGTTTTAGCCAGCTGCAGTATTCTAGAATAATGTTACTGTGTTATTGTAAAGATCTTGTAGAAGGACTGTATGACATATTGTATACTTATACTTTGCCCAACAACTTCTTAGATAAATGTAGCTATGACACCTGTAATTTTTCATTTGTTATAAAAATAATTAATTTTTGTTTAGGCACATCATCTTCGCACCAAGTAGCCACAACAAATATGCAGGAGAATCATTCCCTGGAATTTATGATGCCATGTTTGATATTGAAAATAAAGCAGACCCTCACTCGGCCTGGGCAGAAGTGAAGAAACATATTTCTATTGCAGCTTTCACAGTTCAAGCAGCAGCAGAGACCCTGACAGATGTGTTATGAAGTTTTTGTCAAGTAGCTTCATCACTAGAAGTACTGCAGTGTTTGAGAGTCAAACCATCAGAGGGAGTCTTGCTCATATGGACTCACTGGTAGAGGCTGCTGAGAGTCTGAAGACAAAATCTCTTTTTCTCTGGTGATTCAAGAGGCCAGGATACTCTAAAACCATGATTCTCAGATCATGTTTTGTACTTCCACTGTACTTATCTGTCGTGTTTTTTTTCTTTTTAAACTCTTGCATGCATATTCGGTGAAACTGAAACTGGAAGCAACCCAAATGTTCATGGACATCCAGGTGATACACACACAGAACTGATAAACATCCAGTATTATTGGCAGATCCTGCTGAGTAAGAAGTTGGGCATGAATGAGCCCATAAGACCAAACTAATCTACAGTACTATTTATCTGAGGTTTTGGAGATAAATGGAATTTTCCATACTTCCAGCTTAATGTTAGTTACACAGTGTATGCATTTACCAAAGCTCATCAAACTGTCATTGAAATGTCTACATTTTGTTGAAAATTATGCTGAAGTAAATTTGATTATAAAGGGGAAACCCTACCAAAGGAATAAAAAGTCAGGTAAAAAAAATAGAAATAGCACATCATTGCTTATAAAATGAAAAAGGAATACATGAAGTACAAATGGTACTTTGATAATTCAGTTCTATTGAATAAATATGTAAGTCTAACGAATGAGAAAATGACCATTCCAACTCGCCACCTTGTTTCTGACAGAGTCTTGGGATTACAAGTAAATGCCATTGAAGTTTCATTCAGTAAGAAAAGATGCAGACTTGGCTCAATGGTAGGACTCTTGCCTCGTTTGTTCAAGAACCAAGTTTTTTCCCTCAGTACTACACACACATGCATGAATATGTATGTATATACAAGTACATATACACTCACACATTAAGTAAGCTTGATTATTTAACCACTTCGCCAAATAATTGAAAATAAAAATTTAGAACAGTCCTTTCCCTTAACCTCCAGGAGTATCAAAGGTGAGGGTGTGGACAGAATATATGAGCTGAGGATGGGAAGGCATGCTAGGAAATGGTCTTTTGGACATTACTGGTGTACACACGAATGTGTAGCAAGTGTACATTATCTACACAAATCAAGCACAGAAGTCCAGAACAGATAGGGGAGGGACTCATGAGGTCCCATCTGTAAAGAAAAAACTACTGGCAGTTAATACTTAGTAGAGGGGAAGCTGGTTTTTCAGGCTGTAGCCACTGGTAAGTTGCCCATGGCCCAGTAAACAGACCCATAGGCACTCATATGCAAGTGAACCTAATTAAACTGAGTATATTGAGAAAAAGAAAAGACATGAAAATAGTAGGTTTCTGTGCTTATGCTCTTGTACACTATAATGACTTCTCATTTGTATTGGTTTAATAAAACTATGATTGGCTAATAGCCAGGTGGATGTATAGGTGGGGTGACCAGACTAGAAGGCGGGAAGAAGAAAGGCAGAGACACAGTTGGAAGTAGATGCAGAGGAAGCAAGATAAGAATGCCTTATTGAGAAAAGGTACCAAGCCACTTGGATAAACATAGATAAGAATTATTAGTTAATTTAAGTTGTAAAAGCTACTTAGTAATAAGCCTGAGCAATAGGCCAAAATATAAGCCTGTGTGTGTTTATTTGAGACTGAATGGCTGCAGAAGTAGGCGGACAGAAACTTCTGTTTACAGAAGGTGTAGGGAAGATAGTTCTGAAGGGAAAGGGAAAGTGATAAGGAATTTAGGGTGAATATGTTCAAAATATGTATATATATGAATTATCAAGGCGTAAAAAGTTATTTTTTAAAAATTAACATTATAAGCATACTAAAATAGTAAGCCAAAGCTCAGTTTGACCACAGGAGAATAGTAGATTCCATTACTCTTCCATCCTGGCCAATAAGATTGTTTAATTCAATGAGTGGGATGTTAGACAACCCCAAACTATGTATTTGTGAGGCACAGAGGAGGGAGTCCCTCACATAAGAGTGTGATTGAAGTTTTTTTAATTAATTTTTAATTGTTTTCACTGAAGTATACATTTTTCTCCACTCCCTTCCGCCCCTCTCCCCTTTTACCTTCTCCTGGTGTCGCTTTTAACCCCTCCCTGCCTGCCTGCGGTTTTGCAACACAAACCACCACAGCGGCAGAGTTGGTCTGATTCAAAGTGACCCCTTCCGCACCCACTCTAACTCCTCAGGCAGAACAATAAATTTTGGTTTTGAGTTGTTTCAGACCGGCTCTCCACGTGGACTCAAGTGGACTCTTTCGCCACCACTGGCAGAAACCAGTCATTGCAGGTAATTTTTTTTTCTTTTATAAATAAAATGTCTGAGAATATTACTATCCAGGACTTTAACAGTCTTTTTGAGTGTGCCATGTGGGAGATCTTACAGAGGTGTCTAGCACCCCACATCTATGGATCCTTCTGGGATTAGTAGTTTTCCTTGGTATTAGGTGGTTTGACAACAGAAGTATGATAGAGTCTTTAAGAGACGAATCCAGGATTCTTAAGGCAGAAGTTGAACATCTACAAATGATTAAGCATGACAATGATCTTCTCAAGAATCAGTTTGAAGTTCTACAGGAAGAGAACAGATCTTTGTTTAACAAGACTCTGTTGACTGAGCAAAATTTAGAAAAGGTTCAGGCTGATGTTAAGGAGAAATTCATTACTATGGAAGAGGGAACAGCTGATCTTGATTGTAAACTCCAATCCCTTTCTGTAGGAACTGAAACATTAGTGGCTGATATTAAGGAGAAATTCATTACTATGGAAGAAGGAACAGCTGATTTGGATTGTAAATTTCAGCAGTCACTTTCTGAAGGGACTGAAATATTAACTGAGAGAATCAAAACTGTTGAATGTGACAATCGAATTTTATCTAAAGCTTATGACAGATTGGCGGAAAGATTGTCAATACAAGAAGGCACAGTTTATGCCATAAAAATTGTGTCCAAGGATAATCTCTAATGGACAAACTTCGTACGTTAGAATGCTCAATGAAGGCTTTGGAACATAATTCTGGACAGGAGATACGGACATTGCAGAAGGCAATGGTGAATAGAATTGAAAAGATTGAGGAATTACTAAATTCTGATGAAGAAGAGCAAATGGTAGAAAGGCAAATTTTAACTACATCTGTGGGTAAATCCCTCCAAGACAATTTCCACAAAGCTCTACCTACAGCTCTACCTGCCTTTCCAGTAATAACAACAGAGAAGGTGATTGGTTCCAGAAACCCTAGGGTCATCAAGGAAGATACATGGGAGCCTGTCCGTATGAATGATCTCAAAGAAATTAAACAGGTTGTCATGACTTTTGGGATGCATGCTACTTTTGTTAAAGAGATGCTAAAATCTTGGGCCAAAACAAGCAGAGCAACACCCTCCGACTGGTTTCAACTGACCTCTGGGGTCCTTGAAAGTGGACAGCAAATGAAATGGAAATGTTTATTCAGGCAAGAGGCTAGACTTTTAGAACAGCAAGAAAAGGCGAAGGGAACTGACATTTCCCTAGATAAAATTCTAGGTGAAGGACTCTTTTCCAACCCTCAGGAACAAGCTAATTTGGATGAATACATACTCTCCATGTGTACAACAGCAGCCTTAAGGGCTTGGGACATAGTACAAAACCCAGGACAGAGAATGGAATCAATTGTCACAGTTAAACAAGGTCAGAGAGAACCTTTTAGTGATTTTTTTTTTACAAAGACTTACTAAGGCTGTACAAATAGGGATATCTGACCCAGAGGCAAGATGTATAATGATTGAGTCTTTGGCTTATGAACATGCAAATGTGGAATGCAAAAAGATTTTGGGGCCTTTAAAGTTCAGATCAGCACCCTTGGAAGAATGGATCTTGCATACACTGGATGTTGATACATTTGATTATGGTACTGAAGCATGGGTAGAAGAAGCAATTTCCAATGGTAAAAAGAGACACCAGAATACCAAATGTTTTAATTGTGGCAAAATGGGTCATATGAAAAGGAATTGTAAACAACGGATTTTCAGAAATAATAATGCATCTTCTAGAAATAACAAAAATAGGAGGACTCAGCCTTCAGGTTTATGTAGAAGATGAGGAAAAGGTAGACACTGGACGAATGAATGCAGATCTACAAGAGATAGACAAGGCAACCTGACACAGACAGGAAATGTGAGAGGGAGGGCCTCACAGGCCCCCAAGGCAAACATGGTTCAGTCATTTCCAGTTTCTGCAGAGAACGTGCCTCGTCAGGACAATTAGGAAAC